CTCGCTCTAAGCCCATGGCTAGAGCACCCAAAGGCGATAGGTGGGGAGAGTAACCAGGTGGCTTGCGTAAGGCCACGGTGTTCCGAAATGTCGTCCCAAAGGCCCAGACTGTGGAAAGGAAGAGGAGCAGTCCTCTGGGGTAGTGACCAAGGACACAGTCGTGTGGTGAGGAAGTCCCAGAGGACCGTGGGACTTAGTGGTCGAGCCTGTGGGCCTCGATCCAGTGGCAGTGTTGGCAAACACGGCCAGGGGCAGAAAGGGACTTGGTAGGAACTGACAAAGGGACTTTGGGGAAGGCGATTCCCCAGGTCTGTGGGCATCCTAAGGATGCTAAGGAGTGGATCCAGGATGACCCCTCGTAGATAGATGGCCCAGTCTTGGAGAGACGGGATGGTGATGCAAGTGGTATTGGACCATTTGCGCAGCAAAGGTGAATGGGCATGGCCTTAGCGTAACGGGCCGAGATGTCAGTGGTACCTTTGGGTGTCAGTCATGGGATCGGACACGTGGAGCACTTGGACCAAGTGCAAAGGTTGAGTGGCATGGATGCCACTCTCGGGGATAGCAAGCCCCAAGTCCTGAATGGGACTTATGGAGGTTGTGAATGAGACTCCTCCAAGTGGTCGGAGGTGTGGTTAAGTGACTAAAGTAGAATGGAAAAATTAGTCGCTTACACTCTGGTTGACTTGGTTATTTTGTTGGCTTGCACTTGCTAGTTGCTAATGTTAGGAATTCATGATATTAAGTTTAGTGCTTCAATACTTGCTAAGTGATAGCATATTGTGTTCACTAAGACACTTTCATTATCATTCCCCCATATGTTTGTTCTGTTTGTTTCCATTAGCTATTTATAGAAAGTGTCTAGATTTACTAGTTTAACATATTTATAAAATGTAAGTCCTAAACATGATGGTGCTGTTCCTTTGTCTAAATTTACAATTTAGTGTTATTCCATATTTAGTAAATTTTTATTATTGTTCCAAAAATTAACTTTTAGGACTAAACATCAAATGTATAATAGGGATAATGGGGTAGGTTAAGCATGGCTAACTAACCTAAAGTATAGTTTAACTTTCTTTTGTATGCTTATTCTTGTTTTGTGTTTGACTTGGGTCTATGCCCAAGTTCTATACCATGCTAATTAGTGGTGTACCCATATCCTTTTGTTAGGCCACTAATATGTTAAAATATCGTTAAATTTCATTTGGTTCTATTTTGCATACTAGTTTTAGCAATGGAATGTTAGAAGCTCTAAGACTGTCCTAATATTGCTTTGTGCTTTTGTCGCTCACTCCTTGGGATGTATGCTCAGGAGTTACTCCGTGCTCTTGTCCCTTTACTCATTGAGTTGTACACTTGAGAGTTGTTTCATGCTTAGGTTTCTTTGCTCTTTAGCTCCATATTTAAGAGTTTGGATTTGTCCCTTAGGTCTTGAAACTCACTCCACTACCCTTTGACACATGGCTGAAGGTTATGGTTCTGCTCAATGGTTTTCCTATAATAAATCACCACAAAGTAAAAGGTGCAAACCACATGTGCTACACTAGTGCATTTGCGATTGCTATTAAGTACTTCCTCCTCAATTGAATGGTATTCCAACATTTCTATTTAGAGTGGATTTCTCTTGGATAATGGTCCCATATTTATGATTGAGCATTTCATATTTTAAAGTCTTAGTTGGAGATATACTACACTTTCACAAATACTTAGATAAATGGAATGGCTTGTTTAGATCTTCAAAAGGATGATTGCAAAGTACATGAGCTTTCAACATTTAGATTGGGATGGTTATTTCCCATCCCTTCAGTATATGTATATTATATGGGTACAAAGCTTTGTTAGTGCTTCACCATATAAACTATTATATGGTCATGATTAGATATTGCTAACAGAGTTGAGTTCCCCTTCATGATTACTATGAGCTACTGCTGTTAGATTCTTTAAAGAGCATTCTTCCACTTGTCCAAGTTGTTGAACACTTGGGCCACGTATTAATGGGATAACAATGGCATTACAACTCCCATCATCATCCATTTGTAGAGTATAAAGTTGATGACTTGGAGTTAATCCATTTTCATAATCTTATGGTACATGGTTTGTCTTAAGAGCTTATTGCTTAATGGAAGGGATTGTATTGGGTGTTATGGCAACTTAGACTGTAAGTTTATAAAATTTAGCATGGCATTCAATAGGCCAATCCTCCAAAATTATACATATGTAATAGGTAAAACAAAAGACTAGGAACAATTGGCACAACCTATAAATGCACTAGTGTCTCTTCCTAATGTTCTTCTAGATGTTAACCAAAGAACCCTAACTACCTTTTATCCCTTTTAAGAGGGGATGATATAATGTCTAAGTGTATAGGTACTATGCCATATACTAATATTAGCGTTGTGGGATTTTGATAACTATCAAATTGATTTTAGTTTGGACCATTTGCTCTTTTAAATAAGCTAGGGTTTTTGGACTAATTGATATGTATATTTCTATATTCTATTTCCATATTCCATACACACTTATGTATATCTGTGTATATATATGTATACATACATACACACACACACAAAGATATATATATATATGTGTAAACATATATATCTTGAAAACCAATAGTGTCTAAAAGATTATTTTATAAGTCACATATATGTCTTCAAATAATTCATGTATATGTGTTATAAATTTATATATCTTACAGACTATCGCAAATATGACTACAGGTATCAAAAGATATTTATTAGTATATCTTTTTAGATATTCTTCACTTACTACCAAGACGGCAAGAGATTGGTATTATTAAACCTTTTATCAATCTCTACATAAGCTAGTTGAAAAATTAATTTTCATATGTACACTTGGCTAAAAAAAAAATTCCTAAATGCTATTAGTCAAGCATACTTGACTTGCTTAAAAAAATTCATTCATTAATTTACACTTACTAATGTTAAGAACTCCTGTAATATTAAGTTTAGTCCCTTAATACTTACTAATGGATAGTTTACCATGTTTGCCAAGACACTCTTGCTATAATGATTTATGTGTTAGTTCCATTGGCTATTCATGAAAAATGTTTAGATTTACTAGTTAGACATATCTGCAGAATGTAGAGATTATCTTGAACACAATGGTGTTGTTTTTGCATCTAGATTCACAATTTATGACCATTTCATATATAGTAAATTTTCATAATTGTCATAAACACTAACTCCTCAAACTAAGGTGAAAGCCCAAAGCATGCATTCTTCATTAAGTATGACTAGCCAATTTAAGATATAGTCTAACTCCCTACTTGTGTGTTTGTCTTTATTTTGCATTTACCTTAAGTCTAAGCCCAAATTCCATACTATGTTAGTTGATAGAATACCTATAGTATTAAGGGGAAATTGTACCAAACTCTATTTGGCTCCATTTTGCCTATTGGTTTTAGCTTGGGTCTAAGCCTAAGCATTTCATATTATGTTAAATGCTTTAAAACTTCCTTTGTTGTTCTATTCTCCTATCCCTATGCTCCTTGAGCCTTACACTTATGAATCATTTTGTGCTCCAATTCTTTCATCCTTGGTTGTATGCTTGAAAGTTGGTCTCTATCCTTTTGTTTAGTGGCTTAAAGCCTTGAAACTCAAAATCCATTTCACTGCCCTATTCAGTTTTATGATTATCCTATAATAAATTATCATAGGGTAAAGGGTGAAAACCATATATCTTACATAGGCTAATATATTTTTTTGCTATGTTGCCAGTTTATGTACACTTCTCGCCTTGAAAGATGTACCTCTCCTAAAAACTTGCAATCATAAGTTACTTGCCATATGTAAATAATATTTAAGCAATAATATATATCACAAATTTATAATTAGCCACCAATATTATATAAAATAGAATACATAAAAATCCAAATAATTTGTTGTATGTTGCATGCAGCAACCCTTGGTTTGCTTAATAATAGTGTTATTCCTATTTATTAATCAAATTAATCAAATTAAAGTTTATAATTATAAAATGTTTATAATTTATAAACACAAGATAAATGTTGTATATTAACTATTAAACGGTAGAATAACTAGAATATACTATACAAGATTATTCTAAATGAATAACAACTGTTAGATGGTAAAATATCCCAGAGTATCCAAGAATATTCTAGGTATATCCGTTACCACCTTAAATGTTTGCTTAAGCAAACCAAAACTGTATCAACTTAAAAAATATATGTTTTTGGTTTTTGGTATATATTATATTCATCTTATTCTTCTCTAATAAGAAACCTAAAAATAATTAAAAACCAAATGAGAAACATGTAATAAATATAATTCCTGAAATTCCAAAAAAAATCATAAAATTGCATTAAAACATGAATAGCATAATAAAAACTCAATATGGAAGAGGGACAAATTTGTGAACTGCTCATTGCCCTCACTAAACTTTAAGATGGACAACTATTTTTCAGTCCACTGATTTCCTCAAAGAACACTAAATTTCCTAGTCATTCTAGTAATCCTTGCGCTTATAACTAATCTGTGCATGTTATAAGTGATTGGAGAAAATTAGGCCTCAAATTATCTAGCTTTGACAATTTTGGATCAGTTCCTCTTCGCACAAAGAAGAAGACCAAGATTTGCGTGAGATAACAAGCATTTTTTTAGCGAGAATGGATAGAATAATTCACAAAAAAACATTAGCTGCTTCAAATTTACAGAAATTAAAATTAAGATGTGAAAATCCATGTCACAGCATTGACAATCTGGTGAAACTGCGAAGTGTTGTTACTTTGTGCCTTATTTTATTTTTTCTTGATTTTCCTATCTGAGACTTTGGTCTTCTTGGTCTTGCTAGCAGCCCATGAGCTTGGTGAGACTGAGATCCTGTCAATTGCCCTTCAAATCTGAACTCGAGCCGTGGGTTTCCAATTACAAAATGGAGAATTGGAAATGAAGAAGATTGCATGGACTTGGTGGAATTAGATTTTTTTTGAATTTACATTTTTGATAAACAATAAAATGCTACTTCTGAGCACAGATGTTGGAGATCATCACATACCGCTCCGTCGAACAAGCACCACCAAAATTTCCCGACGAGCCAATCAAACCACGACCACCACCGTGAACCCGGCAAGCTCCCAGCAAAGTCCTCACTCCAACCTCATCCACGCTGCTCAAATCCCCAGCTTCCTCCACGCTAGACCCAATCCGCCCCAGCAAATCCAGCACGCAATTCAGATGCTCCGCCCTCGCCTCCACTCCAAAGTCGCCATAGATCGACGCGACGCAGCTCAAACCATGGCGAGCCAGCCCCGAGTGGCTACACGCCGACACGATGCAAACCACGGTGATACCATCCGGATCAATCCCCTCGAGCTTCATCCGCTGGAACAGCTCGAAAGCTTCCCATCCAGCGCCGTTTCTAGCATACGCCGCCACCATCGCGTTCCAAGTCACAACGTCCCGGCCGGGAATCTCCATCTCCTCAAACACCAGCCGGGCTTCCACCAAGTTGCCACACCTGCCGTACATGCTAAGAACCGCGTTCCGTACGCTAAGTTCTCGCAGGAATGAGCCCGCCGCCACCGTCCTCGCGTGGAGCTCCCGGCCCTCGGCTATGGCACCCGCGATCGCGCACGCGTCCAGGGCCTCGATCATGGTGACGCTGCTGGGCTTGATCCCGTGGAGCTCCATTGATCGAAAGGCGGCAAGCGCGCGCTTGGAGTCGCCGCTCTGGTTGAGCGCCGCGACGATCGATGTCCAGGAGATGCAATCCCTGGTAACCATTCCCTGGAAGATCTCCATGGCTTGCTCGAGGAGCTTGGATCGGCCGTAGAGGTGGATGAGAGCGTTGCAAACTTTGAGGCTGGTGGAGAGCTCGCTGCTGTGCCGGATGATCGTCGAGTGTATCGACTTTGCCTCGTCGAGCAAAGAGCGATCGCCAATTCCCAGCGAGCAGGAATCCAGGAGGCTGATGATCGTCAGCTCGTCGGGCTTGATCCCCTCGAGGTTCATCCTCCTGTGCAGAGAGATCGCTTGCCAGGGATGCCCGTTCTGGCTATAAGTCGCGATCATCGAGTTCCAGGCCACAAGATCTCGCCGCGGCATCGCATCAAAGAGATCCTTAGCTCGATCCACAAAACCATTGCGCGCGTAAGCCACGAGCATTGTCGTCCACGAGCATGCATCCTTCTCTGGCGCCATTTCAAAACTCTCCATCGCTCGTTCCAAATGCCCATTGCCGGCAAATACTGCGAGCATGAGATTCCAGGAGTAGACGTTCTTGATGGCGATCCTTTCAAACACAGCCGCGGCATTCTCGACGCGCCCAAATCGCCCATACATCTGAACCAGCAGATTCCCAAGAAAGGTCTCGCGATCTCCGCCATTTCTTGCGATCTGCGAATGTGCGCGCTCCACCTCCGCGGCCGATCCGGAGCTCCGCAAGAGAGACGCGAAGATGGGCGAGTCTCGGCATTGGGCTTCTCCGATGGAAGGCATTCCATCGAAAATATCCTTTATCTATAGACAAAGATCTCTACAATCTATTAACAAGAAGTAGATCATTTGCTGGTGGAAGTTGTGTCCCTGCAATGAAATGCTTAAAGAGAAACAGCGCCTCTCCTGGCTTGTCTCTTGGAACCTGATGCCCAGCACCTCTCACCGACGCAAATGTCAATGAATCATACACCTCCGCTCGCCCTCCCAGATAGGCAATCTTAAATTGCAAACATCATCAAACTCTAGATGATTGAATTGATACTCTAAAGATTCACTCACCCCCTCGCCTGGGTACCCCCATCCATACCATGAGGTCACGACGCTCAGGTTGAGTGCTTTGAGCCAGCGTCGAGTCGAGAGTGTGGAAACCACGCTATCCACATCCCCACTGCAATTAAAGAAATATTTCACAAAATGCAGTATAATCAAAACATTTATGTACCAACCTGTAAATCCATATTCTTAGATTATGCTCAAACAGATCTCTGTACACTGGAAGCATTGACCGCTGCTTGTCGATTGGCAAGTAGCTCCTGTCGATGCTTGGGCTGCAAAGAATGATATTAGCAAGTTATTAGTAATTTGTACTTACTTGCATCTAGTCCAGCGCACCGGCCTGGTCTGAACGTGTAATGCAGCTTGGACTTCCGGAAGATTGAGATAGTTTGTCACAGCATCGAGGCAGGGATTGCACGTCGGCACTGAGTAAAGATTGTAAGGACTGACTTGGAGTTGCAAGATAAAGATTTGCAAAGAGATGTTGGAGCATTTCATGGATTCTTCTTCGGTTGCATTTGGTTTGTTACAGTAGAGCTTCTCTCCTTCATAAAGTTCCTCGGAGATTACCGCATGGGCGAAGAGTGTCTCTCTGTTACCAGGGACGTCGTATAAGTCATCTGTAGAAGGATTGCCAATCTAGTGAAAGGAAAAAAACCATGGGTTTTAATTTCTCCAAGCACATGAAAACCACTTACCGCAAATCCTTTAAACTTGATTGGATTGTCACCCTGCTGATTATGCCCAATAATCTTAGAAGCCAATGTTGGAATAAAATGCCCTGTTATATAAGGACATGAAAAAAAACCATAAAGGATGGAAAAGATCGGACCTGCAAAGCTCTCCCCTGCAATATAAAATTCGTTCTGCTTATACTCTGAGAACTTGGATAGAAACTCGATGAGAAACAACAACGAATCCACAGCTGTGGTTACACAGTCAAAACTTCATAATACAAAAGTACTTAGAAATTCATAAGTTTACTGACCAGTTTGATTGTCTGTCCAGAACCCATCATCTGATAGCAAATTTGTAAACGAGAATCCGGTGTTGTAAGGAACCTCCAAAAAGATAAAATTTGCAGCTGTAAACTAGTATTACTATTGAATTTAACTTTGACTTAATCACAACCAAGATCTTTGTTCCAGGAATATGGGTTGAGGAACAGCCCTGTGCCTGTAGCATTTACACGGAAAGGGCCGATTTCTTCGAGAGCTCCAGCTCCAATGGATGAACACCCTGGCCCTGCGAGAGAAAAGAGAACTCGATCTACAGGTTGTATCTTATTACAAACCTCCATTGAGCCATAGCACCAATGGCAATGAGGAAGCATTTGGATGATCTGCCTCATAAAACCAATAGAAGAGTGAACGATCTGCAGTGGCATTGATCTGGATTTGGCCTGCGTAGTGCCTGAATCCCACTGCTGGCTGCCCTGGAAGGTCTTGCACCAGGTGTTGTGGATCTGCTGCAAATGCCAAAGCGATGTCGAGCAACATGACGCATAGTACCCATGATCCTCTCGCCATTCTCTCTACGGTCGAGAGCACAACAGTGACACGTACCTCTTATCCACACAGATCAAGGCCTGATCGATTTGAAGAGGACTTTCAATTGCTCCAGAACAGCTTAGTAATTTATTTCTCAAGGGTTAACGAAAATCTTCAAAACTATTGTTGACTTTCATTGACTAATATTAAACATACTTGGAATATACTTGAATATTTTACTATTTAACTGTTGTATTCATTTAAATTTATAAACTTTCCTAAACACATTCTAGTGTATTCTTGTTTTAATATGCAATAATATTAATCTTGATATATAAATTATAAACATGTTTATAATTATTGATCAATTTGATTATGAATGATACTACTATTAAGCAAAGCATGCTACATGCAGCAAATTATTCTAATGCTTTTTCCTCTCATTTTTCTTTGTTACAACTTGTGTGTCTCTCACTGACAAAAGTGACACTTTGACTACAAGAAGTCTTTATACGTTTCCTTTGATAGGCAAAATGGGATTGGCTGGACATTAGAAAAGTGGGGTTGCATTATTGCGTGTGGGACTGGAGCTTGTGCTCGGCACGCGATTCGGATAAATGTCCGCGACTGAGATTTCTCGAAGAAGCGTCAATCGAGCCCACGCAAGCGTACAAACAACACAGCAGCTCATTGTATGGACGTAAAAGTTCACAATGCAAAGGAAAGATGGTGAAAGACGTTTGCAACCTCCACCGGTGGGCTATTAGGTCAAAACCGCGAAAGGAATAAACAATTAAAACCATACAAAATGTTGTCATTGTAGCTTGGAGCAGCTTTGTTGGAGGCCCACCCACGATATGAATGACAAGAAACAAAGTTGGATATGTGGTCCACCCCCTCTTTCACAAAACTTTCACGCAGAATATACCCCAAAATATCCGCGGGATATGCTTCCCGCCACGTAGTGCGACGCGGCGAGCCCTAAATCCGACGTGTCAGGGGCCATCATCGCGTCCGTCGGCAGGCTAAACCTGGACAGTCCGGATCACCCCACGTAGCTTGCTGTTTTGGCGCAACAGCGACCGTGGATGCGCCTGGCGCACGGACGGCTTGGATGGAGAGGGCTATGGAAGCTCTTTCTCGCGCGCCAATGTAATGGGAGGGCTAGAACACGACGGAAATGTACAGCCCTAGAGAGCTGTGAAGAGCGCTTGTGTGATCGTAGCGCTAGCACGGATCATAGTAGCAGCAAGCGCAGCTTTTGGAGGATCGTACCATCTGCGCAACGTAACGGCGGCCAGATCGATCCCATCGCGACTCGCGGGAATTCCTCGTTTCTTAGTGACTCTCATCTTAGGGTATGTGCGGCGACGCTGCGCCATAGCTTGATCCTCGTGCTTATGCAGCGATTACGTCGCTAGGACGAGAGATTCTTCCGTCGTCGGCCACTCCTTTTCTTTCTTCCGGGCTGAATTATTTGAGAGAAGATCTTGGGAGGCTCTGTTCCTTTCCATTCTCTCTGGAAATATTTCGACTCTTCCCAGTTCTTGCGATGGATTGAGCGCCGGATCCTCGCAGATTCGCGGCCATGGCGACCGACACAGCATCGGAATTGCGGGAAAGAGTGCCGCTCCACAAGAATCCCTTACAGGTCGTGCAAGATCGCCGAGTCGAGCAGCAGCAAGAAGATGGAGAAGAAGGCGAGCTCGGTTTCCGGCAACATATGCTAGCCGGCTCCTTGGCCGGGATCGTGGAGCACGTCGCGATGTTTCCAGTGGACACGCTCAAGACGAGAATCCAAATGATCACAAGCCCGTGCGGAGGGTCGGGAGCTACTGCCGCTGCTACAGTTGGATCGAGCAGCACGATTTCCAGATCGCTCGTAAGCTTGCTCAAGCATGAGGGTCCTCTGGGATTATACCGGGGCGTGGGAGCCATGGTTCTGGGAGCCGGGCCTTCTCACGCGGTCTACTTCGCAGCCTACGAAGAATGCAAGAGGAGATTTGAGGTGGATGGCGGGGGGGGAGGGGGCTACCATCCAATCGCTCATATGTCCGCTGGAGCTTGCGCCACCATTGCCAGCGACGCGGTCTCCACTCCAATGGACGTGGTGAAGCAAAGGCTCCAGCTCAAGAACAGCCCCTACGCCGGACTGGGCGATTGCGTGAGGAAGATCGCGAGGAGCGAGGGATTGAGAGGCTTCTATGCCTCGTATAGGACCACGGTGGTGATGAACGTCCCGTTCACTGGCGTTCACTTTGCTACGTACGAGGCGGCCAAGAAGGCGCTCGGGGAGCTCCAGGGTGGTGGTGGTGGTGTTGGTGGTATGAGTGAGGAACACCTCGTTACTCACGTCGTCGCTGGTGGATCCGCGGGAGCTCTCGCCAGCGCTGTCACCACGCCGCTGGATGTTGTCAAGACCCGGCTCCAGTGCCAGGTATGCTGGATTCTTTTGCTTTGAGATTGATTGTGTGCTCTTCGGTTTAGTTTAGATGTTTTCTAGATTCGATGAGGTTTGTCATATTTCTATTTCTCTTGGTAGCTTAGATTGCTTGCTCGTTGTTCTAGATTTCCTGGCTTGTTTTAGATTCCCAAGAGCTGCATGATTGACTGTCCAGCTTTGGAGTTTTGTAGGACGCCCCTCCGCACGCTCGGAAGGCTAAAGTTTTCTCTCTTTTGGGGCTTTGCTCGTGTAGGGAGTTTGTGGCGCCGAGAGATTCAGCTCCAGCTCGGTGCTAGAAGTAGCGAGGACGATCGCGTCGCACGAAGGGGTAGGGGCACTGTTTAAAGGGATGATGCCCAGGATTTTGTTCCACACCCCAGCGGCAGCCATCAGTTGGGCGACTTACGAAGCGGGAAAGTCATTCTTGCAAAGATGGAATGGATAGAAAAGAATGTGAATCTTGTTTTAATAATATAGTTGCAAATCAAGTAATCAATAGCTATGGTTTTGTTATTTCTCTAGTTAGAGAAAACGATTCACTCATACATGGAACTTTCTTTCCGTAATTCTTCTTTTATTATGTATCATTTTATTTATATTCTCTTGCGCTGCAAAGTCAGTGATTTAATCAAAGCTTCGGGAAATTAATGCAAAAATACTTACTTTGCTTGTTCTGTACAGAAGTACTTTCAATTGGAAACCATGAGCTCCGTCTCCTTTACAAAACCATCGCCTGTCCAGTCCTTGTCCGAGGCTAGGCCCTTGCGAGCAGCGCGTCGGCTCCTAATCGCCTCTTGCTGCCTTTGGACGAGATCGGTGTGTGTAGTCATGTACTGCAAAGATGTCCTGGAACCAAAATTCACGAGTCAAGATATAGTTTGAGAGAGAGAAAGAGTTTAGAATACCCTCTGAAGTCGTCCAGCGATGTGAAGTTATGCTTGGCCATGAACGCTTGCAGCTCTTTACAAAGTCGTTTCACGAGTGGATAGCCATACATCATCACACCTGTGCAAACCTGAGAAAACAAGCCTAGACGTCGAAAGAAGCAAGCAAGCAAGCTAACCTGTACTGTATTAGCTCCTAGAAGAATGAACTCCGCAGCATTGTCTCCAGATTCAACTCCACCAATGCCAGAGAGAGAAATGTTGCGATCGGGATACTCGGACTTGAGCATCTGCGCAATCGCCATCACTTTTGCAAGAGCGATTGGACGCACAGCTCTGGACGAGTATCCGCCGGGTGTAGAGTACCTGAGACAACAACGTTTGACCGTGAAAATCCCAGTTTTAGAACTCAAAGGCATTACCCTTCAACGCATGGCTCAGGTCGTAAAGTATCGAGGTTGATACCCATGATGCTCGTTATAGTGTTGATTGCTGATAAGCCCTCGCAGCCAGCTTCGATTGCTGTTCGCGCAGGCTATAAAATGCACCATGAGTAGAAAGATCACGCACCAAAAAAAAGAATAAAAAAAGTGTGAGAGCTCCACTACCTGAGTGATGTCTGTGACATTTGGTGTCATTTTAGCCCAGACTGGAACTGTTGCCTTGGCATTTATCCAGCTGCAAACCTCGCCGAGAAGATCACAATCCTTTCCAACAGCAGCTCCCATTTTTCGCTCGGGCATTCCATGCGGGCACGAAAAGTTGATCTCCAAAGCATCCTGGAAGAGAAAAAACTATGTTAGAGCAATAGCAACCAAGTGTGATCAAACTTACAACACCAGTGGCCTCAACTCGTTCGATGATTTCTTCCCACGCATCCTTGTCGTATTCTTCCATGATCGAGCCGATTAAAATCCGGTCGGGGTATTCCTGCTTTAATCTCCGCAGCTCGGCCAGCATTGTCTCGAAAGGTCTGTCACTGATAAGCTCGATGTTCTCCCACCCGATCACGTCCTTGGGACCATTCCCCGATCGCATGCGGGCATACCTTGGTGTTACATTGATCACTTTCGTGGAATCCAGAGACAACTGTCCAAAACAAGAAAAAAAATTCGCACAGTGGATATTGCCCAACATTCCCGAGAATAAAGATTCCAGATTTATCCAGATGAGCAAGAGATCGATCGACTTACCGTCTTGGAGATCACGGCGCCCCAGCCTTCATCGAATGCCTTCTTCATGACCGTGTAATTCGTCCCCGGGGGCCCCGATCCGATGACGAAGGGATTCGGGAGCCTCAATCCATTGACACTGACGCTGAGATCAGGCGCTCCATCTGCCAGATTCTCGGAAGAACACGCGATCCTGGTAGGAATGCCGCGATCGAAGCCGCCGCCGCGACGATCACAGGCGAGAGCTGGGACGAGCCCTCGCATCGAAACCGCTGCCGCCATAGCGCCTGCGCTAGACCTTCCTCCCTCCCTCCACGATAACCCTGTGATAAGCACGAGGGAAAGGTCGCGGTTCGATCCCCGCAATCAAAAGTTTTGTATTTTAGGGCTTAGTTACGCAAAACGTACGGACACATATTTTAGGGCTCTTTTCCGTTCATACGGACAAACTCATTGCTGATGCCATTTCCACCTTTTATCTTCCATGGACGAAGAAGAATCTCCCATGGAATGGTTTGAAAGCTGGACAAGGCTTTGTTTCTATAGAGGAGATTCTAGTCCAGAATAAGTAAAGGCTCTCTCGCTTTCCCTTGGGACACCTTGGAAACGCCACCGGAATATCCGCCCGCGTCTAGGCGGCGCTCCCATTTGGCAGGAAGGGTGATGTGGCTATTCTCTGTAGGGCAGGCGCCCAGTGTGTGGCCTCGGCGGAGCCATTGCCTATTCCCCGACGCCATTGGAAATCCCCGCCCTGGTGGATGGATTAGGGAGGAGCGGCATCGCCTCTAGCTCGCGCGGTCGATTTGCGCCAGCGATATCGATCAATCGGCGGGGATCGGTGCGATCGATTGATCTTCCCTTCCGCCGAAATATTTCGGTTCTTGGCAGCGATGGAGGCATATGATCAGAAGAAATCCTGGGGGAGGGAGTTCGTGGCGGGCGGGCTGGGAGGAATGGCGGGCGTGATCTCGGGGCATCCGCTTGATACCATCAGGATCCGGCAGCAGCAGCCGCGCCACGCTCTCTCGTCGGTGCCGTCATCCGCCACTGGAATGGTGAGGCATTTGCTCAGAACAGAAGGTGTGCGCGCGCTCTACAAGGGAATGTCGTCGCCGCTGGCCACCGTTGCCCTCCAGGTACCAATTTTTATGATTTTTACTTCAGAGCTCCTTGTTGGAATCCTGTTTGGATCGATTTTCATGCCAGGTTTCGCATTTAGCTACCTGAGAAAGAAAATTTGTGCCGGTTGCCAGGTACAATTGTTTCAAAGTAGACAATGCTGCTTGCTAGTGTACTGCTGCCATTGTTCCTGTTGGTGAGAGTGTCGTGCTCTGAGTTGCTTAACTTGGGAGTTTGGTGTCCCTGAGAGTGAGAAATTTGTCTCTGACACGTCTTTTTTATCACAAATCTCGTGGTGGTTTCTTTCTAAAGCTGGTCTTTTGCGGTGTTCGCAATACTAATTTTTTAATGTGCACAGAATGCCGTCGCCTTCCAGACTTACGCTACTCTTTGTCGAGTACAGTCACCGGATCAACGAAACGAGACGCTTCCTCTGCAAAGAGTCGCTGTCGCTGGCTTTGGAACAGGTGCGCTCCAGACGCTGATACTGACACCCGTGGAACTCGTCAAGATCAAGCTGCAAATCCAGCGATCGCTCAAAGGGTGCTCCAAGTCCGCCAACCTTCACGGGCCGCTCCAAGTCGCGCGGAAGATCACCCAGACAGAGGGCCTCCGGGGGCTCTACCGCGGCCTTGGAATCACGCTCATCAGGGACGCCCCGGCTCACGCAGTCTACTTCAGCTCCTACGAGTTCTTGCGCGAGAAGCTCCACCCGAGCTGCCGGAAAAACGGTGGTGAGTCGATCCTCACGCTGCTCACGGCGGGAGGATTTGCGGGGGCTCTCAGCTGGATCGTGTGCTACCCGTTCGACGTGATCAAGACAAGGCTCCAGTCCCAGGGTCCCGGAGCCGAGATGAGATACACGGGCATCGTGGATTGCTTGAGGACTAGCGTCCGCGAGGAGGGGAGAGGGGTGCTGTGGCGTGGATTGGGGACCGCGCTGGCTCGAGCGTACCTGGTGAACGCCGCCATCTTCTCGGCCTACGAGATGAGCTTGAGGTTCCTCTCGGCGTCGAGAGCTCCGGACGCCAAAGCGTTTCTTAAAGGAGCCGAGGAGGCGACGCTACCGTGAGTTATAGGGAGAGTGCCCGATTGATCGTATCGATTTGTTTGGTCTTGTTTTGCTTGGAAATCCCTGTGTTGTGAATAGAGATAACGCCGAAGAAACGAATAGGGATATTCTCGAATCTTAGTGATTGTCTGGCAAGGGAATCGATCCAGGGTCCACGTGAGCCGTACTTTAGTACGGAGTCCACTTAAAAAGCTCGAGGGCTTCCAGGAGGAGAAAGCAAGTGTAAGAGCGGAGCTAGGCTATGGCGGAGGGAGAGGAGGTTTTAGGGCCGGGAGCTGGGATGCTCTTCTTGGATGAGGAAGGGGTGGGGCAGGCATTCTTGCAGAGCTTCGGGAGCGACAGCCCCGGGCGGGATCACGTCGTGGAGGAGGCGCACAAGCTAATGCGGGGGATCTTAGACTCCCGGCCCAATCCCCCCGCGGCGCTTGTGAGCAAGCTCGCCGCGATCCTCGAGCAGGAGGAGACGAGGTATTTGGAGAGAAAATCTCCAGTGTTCTAGGGCAATCGAGGAAATTCAATCGGTAATGTTTTTCTTTGGCTTCTCTCCAGGTTCCAGCTCAAGCTTGGGGCGTCGGAAACTACACTCTCGCGATCGTCTCACACTATAGGGAGGCTTTTGGTCATGATCAAAGTAAGCTCAATGGTCGTATTTTTATTTTTTTTCGTGCTCATTTCTTCTCCATCTCCAGGAAGATGAGTATTTCATTGATACAATTTCGGGTATTCTGCTAAGGGAGAATGATCCATTGCCTCTCCGGGCTGCTGCCGCTAGACTACTACTTATTTGCGTGTCTTGCTGGATGGTGAGTTCTTATTCTACATCAGATATAGAAGCTAACAAAATTTTCCTTTTTATGCAGTATTCCTATTCCTTCGAAGATTTGCTACTCTCCTTGATTAAGCAGCTTGTGACGGAAGAACTAGATAGGCCATGCGTGTTCACAAATAAGAAGCCGAGTGATGGCGAAATATTAAGGACTTTTGCTATTGGGCTTTTTTCATGTGCCCTCTCCGGGTAAGTTTTTTTCTTTTCTTCCTTTCTTATATGACTTTGGAGCTTAAAAAACTGTTTTGGCAGCAGTCAGGAAGTTGCGGAAGAAATTCTTGCCACTGGCCTTCCTGCGAAATTCATGCGTTACTTACGAGTATGGACCTTTGGTGACTCGGTTAAACCTGACCATGGCAACGGTGGTGTAGCTAACGGGCACAAAGAAGGTCGAATACGGCCTCGGCAACATGTCGATGCTGCTACACTCGACAAACGAGTAACGAATGTTGAAGGTGGCAGTGGTGAAAGTTCAGGGAGACAGATTGTAGAAGATATGGTTGACGGTATACCTGAGGAGAAACCTCGTAAGAAAGACATTCCGGAAGGTAAAATCAGAGGCAACCACGATGATGAGAGTTTAAGAGTGCCGGAGGTACGTGATCGAGGTGGGGGGAAAAGTCGGGGGAAAACGAAGCTGTCCGACAGTGGTACAGATGAGAAGCATGTCAGAAAGGAGAAAGCTAGGACGCAGGTCAGCACGAATGAAGATGTGAAAATATACATGGCTGGGAAGGTAGATGTTTCGGTGTTTGCCAGGAGAGCGGTCTCTGCTGCGCAGGCAGAAGCTAAAGGGGCAAATGCTTCCGACGAGGCGATCAAGGCCGCCGGAGATGCGGCTGCCGAACTTGTGAGGGCCGCAGCACTTGAGGTAGAACTTACGTCCTTTCATAAGATATTTTCTTAGAGACTGTGTTTTACAGGCACTTGTTACAACTGAAGACGAAGCATCTGTGTTGGCTGCTGCAGAGGCTGCAGCGGCAACAGTTGTAGATGCGGCCGGGGTTGTCAGGTTTGTTTTCTTCCGTTTCCTTTTTCTTACTCTCTTATGTCTGTTCGGAATTTCCAGGTTGGAATCTTCCTTGAAAGAGAGGGCCAAGCCAAAGGAGATGGAGCCAAAAATCCAGGAAGGTGAAAAGGATGAAACAGAACATATTCGGGATCCGAAAAGCTTGAACTTCTTGAAAGCGCAATACTGCGTGCAATGCTTGGAGAAGCTTGGAGAGTATATCGACATACTGGGACCTATACTGCAAGAAAGAGGTGTTGAAGTTTGCCTTGAGTTGCTGAGGAGATATGCCCGTCCTGGGGAAAGCGTTGAAGCGCTGGCCATGGCTGCAGATGTTTTAAGGCTGGTTTGTGCACTCGCTTCTCATCGAAAGTTTGCCACACTATTCGTTGATTTGGGAGGTATACAGCAGCTTCTCTCGATTCCACGAGTTCCGCAACATTATACTGGTGTCTCTTTGTGCCTTTTCGCTATTGCTTCTTTACAGGTATGGAAACTTTTAGCACCATCTCTTATTTAACGTTTAACTGTATTGCAGGGTGTTATGGAGAGAGTCTGTGCTTTGTCTCCGACAGTTATACATGACTTGGTGGCGCTAGCATTTCAGCTGCTAGAATGCCCCAAAGATACGCCACGACGAAACGCTGCTCTATTCTTTGGATCGTCGTTCGTTTTTCGAGCTATCATCGATGCTTTTGAAAGCCAAAACGGCCTCCGAACGTTTTTAAACCTTTTACGGGATACGGTCGCTATAAGATCTGGTGGAAATCTACGTAGCGATCGTGGTTCTTCTGCGGAAGTGCTAACTTCCACTGACAAGCAAATCACTTATCACACTTGTGTTGCGCTGAGACAGTACTTCAGAGCTAGCTTTCTGCTCTGGGTGGACTCTTTGAAGCCTTGCAAGGGCCATCGCGGAGCTTCTCGCAACTCAAATCACACCAGGGACTCCTACAAACCGATTGACGTGAGCAATGAAGCTACAGAGGCGGTCATACAGCAACTGTGGCGTGATAAAAAGCTCGCTGCCCAATTTGTTAAAATCAAATGGCCCGCATTGGAGAAGTTTATCAGCCAGAATGGACACATATATCTACTCGAGCTAGCTCAGGTACGTCTGATGGTATTGTAGGTGGAAAATGATTTCATTTTGTTTCTTTCAGGCTGCGCCAGGGGAAAAATACCTGCACGAAAGTGCTCTACATGCTCTTGCGGTTTTGCAAATCGTGACTCTAGTACCAGGTTATCGGAAAGTGGTGGTCGGTTCTGTCTTGAGCAATGGACGTTCTGGAATGTCAGTTCTTCTAGATGCAGCTAGTGGAGCCGCTTTTGTAGACCAGCCAGAGGTAATATGCATTCCTACTGTTGTTTTTTAATCGAGCTCGTACCTATGCAGGTTATACAAACTGCTTTGTTAATACTGGTAAATCTTGTATGTCCGCCTCCTGCATTTTCAAGTCGCTCCGCGCCTGGTGGTGCTAGTGCAACACCTGCGCCAGTTTCAGACACGAAAGATAGGCAAAGAGGAGACGACAGAACTGATAACGGAGCCGGGACATCTCTCTCATTGTCTTCACCTCTAGTTGGTGACACGAGGATATCGTTGGGACCAGGATCTGGAGGGCCTGGACTAGCAGCATCTATGGAGCAAGGCTATCGGTTTGCTCGTGAAGCAGTGCGAGCTAATAACGGCATCAAAGTTCTTTTGCACTTGCTGTATCCGCGAACAGTTTTGCCACCCTCCGCTCACATTCGTGCCCTTGCCTGTCGGGTGCTACTGGGACTTGCACGGGACGAAGCCATTGCTCAAATCCTCACGAAGTTACAAGTAAGTTCTCTATAGTTCTTTGTTTCTTACCACCTCTATTCGCTGCAGGTTGGGAAACTTTTGTCAGAACTTCTGAGGGATGGATCACAAGCAAATCGTGCAGGACAAGACAGATGGCAAACTGAATTAAGTCAGGCCGCCTTGGACTTGATAGGGGTAAGTTAGATTCCAACTTCGTTGTGCTTGTACTCACTTCCTGGTGACGGCAGATTGTGACAAATGCAGGTCGAGCTAGCACTGTTGCAAGTGAGGCAGCGGCGCCTACATTGCGACGAATAGAGAGGGCTGCTATTGCTGCGGCAACACCGATAAATTATCACTCCAGGTAAGTGATCACCTTCTTATTTCCAATTTCAGTTGACTGTATATCTCGTGTTCACAGGGAGCTTTTACAGCTTATCCACGAGCATCTTCTAGCTTCTGGGTTCACAAGCACAGCTTTAACGCTGCTCAAAGAAGCTCAACTGGCGCCTTTGAATCCCTTGTTGCCAGCGGCATCACTTCCAAGTTCATCCACCGCCCAAGAAGTTCTCACTGATCAAAAGGTGGAGATGCAATGGCCAAGCGGTCGGTTAAACGGTGGTACATTTCTGGCCAACAAGCAGGGCAGCGATGACGACAGACAAAATTTTGATTGTTCGAGGAGGCGGCTAGCCTTGACTCCTAGAAAAACAGGTGCTGGTAAAGAAGGGGTTACATTAGAGGGACAGGACACACATGCAACGGGGACTAGATTGAATACTACCGAGGACAGCACGTCAAGAACGCCGGTGCTGCCAAAGAGCTCACTCAAACGCAAGTTAAGCGATAAGGATGCATCCCCAAACAAGAGGCCATACCTCTCCACTAACGGCGCTGCTCCGGCAATGCTTACTACTCCACAGGTGCGGTTTAAGACCACCGACAACACTTGTGAGACTCCCTTAACGACAACTCCAGCTCTTCAAGATTTGGGAGCCAAGGCCTCGGAGAAGCTCGACGATTTTCCAGAGCCCTCGAGCTTTACGACTCCGGCCGTCCACGGCTCGCATCCAAATCTACTCGTGGAGCACAACGCGAACGAGCGAGCAACGCTAGACAGCCTCGTGGTGCAGTACCTCAAGCACCAACACCGCCAGTGTCCGGCTCCAATAACCACGTTGCCGCCGCTCTCGTTACTTCATCCTCACGTCTGCCCGGAGGCCAGCAGAACTCTCTACGCCTCGTATAACACTTCTACAAGGCTCGGCACGAGAGAGATCAACCCACCTTACGGTGGCATGCACGGGCGACGGCACAACAGGCACTTCATCTACAGCAGGTTCCGGCTAGTCCGTGTGAGCCGAGACGAGGACGCAAGGATACTTACGTGCGGAACGTTTGTGCTGGGCCAAACCGGATGTTTTGCTGCCGGTTGTCACGGCGGAAACATCGTGCTGTTTGATGCAAACAACGGAACCACGCTCGAGAGACACGGCTGCCACTTGACCCCGGTAACAAGCTTACAATCGGCCCCGCATTCGATATCAGGTGACTCCGGCTCGGGACAGCTCCTCCTTTCGTCGTCAACCTCGGATGTGAAGCTTTGGAACTCGGCAGGCTTGACACCAGGCCCGCTTCACACCTTTGACAACTGCAAGTCGGCTCGGTTTAATCACGCTGGGACGATGATCGGTGTCACGAGATCGGGGCAACACGCCAAGGAAGTGATGCTCTATGATGTAAATAACTACACATTATCGCACACACTCACGGACGCTTCAATCACGACTCCAGTCCGCGGCCAGTTTCCGTCTCAGATCCACTTCAGTCCTTCCGACATCATGGTTCTCTGGAATGGTGTCCTGTGGGATCACCGCATCCCTGGAGCCGTCCACCGGTTCGATCAGTTCACGGACTACTGCGGTGGTGGCTTCCATCCGGCTGGAAACGAGGTGAGCCTTTAGTGTTGTTTCTAGCTCGTGCTGAGTCTAAAGTTTTGGTTTTGGATCTTTTCCAGGTTATCATCAACTCGGAAGTATGGGACCTTCGAACTTTCAAGCTGCTGAGAAGCGTGCCGTCGCTGGACCAGACAGTTCTTACGTTCAACCCGCGAGGGGACGTGATCTACGCGACTCTCCGGCGCAACACGGACGAGGTTGGTATGGCCTTGAACTCGAAGCGAGCCCGGCACCCTCTCTTCTCGGCGTTCCGGACCATCGACGCGGTGGACTACTCGGACATTGCCACGACGCAGGTGGACCGCTGCGTGCTCGACTTGGCCACCGAGAACAGCGAGTCGGTGATCGGGGTGGTGGCGATGGAGCCCAACCAGGTGATGGACTCGTACGTGAAGTTCTACGAGGTTGGAAGGAGGAGACCCACGGACGATGATTCCGACCCGGACGATGGCATGGACACGGACGAGGAGAACGAGATGGATGGAGACGATGACGAGGAGGACGACGATGACGACGATGGCCCCCGGCTGCTCTCACCCGGATCGTCGGAAGATGGCGAGGAGGACGAGGAGCAACTGGAGCTGGATCTGAGCGACGAGGATGCTGATATCTCGGCCAATGGGATCTTCGAGTTTCTATCCGAGCCGGACGACAATGGCGATCGCAGCTCGTATGATGAAGAGAGCGACGATGGCGATTTTGGCGATCAATCGCCCGAGTTCTCTTTGCTGGATTTTTGATCGCTAGAGTGGAGAGATGTTTGTATCTCTTCTACAGGAACTGCTCTAACGGATAATGTGTAGATCTCACGGGGAAGTCTTGCGCTCATCTGGGCCGTTCGTTTAGGAACGGTCGAGATCTTGGCACTGTGTTGTATCCAGCCGTCGGATACCAACGGTTGGGATTGGTTGAAATTTTAGAGTCTAGGGTTTTTGGTGATGGAGGACGCGCCCACGCGCTACGGCAATGGCGATTCTTCCTCGTCGCGGGGCGGCGGCGATTCTCGGAAACAGGTGTGCTGTGTGTGTTCTTGCGGGCAAATTTCGGGAGATTTTGCGAGGGAATGTGGCCGGAGGTGATGGAGATTGTGGGTTGTGCAGGCTGTGCTGGAGCGGCTGGCGGGGCTGGAGCCCTGGGATCTGTGTAGCGAGGCCAAGGTGGAGAAATGCAGGGCTACCAGGGATTTGAGGAGCTGTGGGAGAACCGTGCAGCATCTCCTCACATCTTGCGGCCACGCGTGCCTGTGCCTGGAATGCTGCCACCGCTGCGACATTTGCCCGATCTGCCGGATGCCAATTCCGAGAAGTGGGGAGGCCCTCAAGCTCCGCCTCTACGACGAATGCGTGGATGCTGGGCTCCTCCCTTTCTTCCAGGAGGAAGAGTTTCAAGAGAAAGAAGAAGACGGGCCTTACTGGACGCTGGATGCCTGGAGACTTTGCTCCTTCTTTGACATCTCTGTGGAGAACAGCATGGCATCCTTGGTTTGTCACTGTATCCTTTTTCGACGTGCTGTTGTTTCGATTCGTTTTGTTTGTTCTTCCTTGACAAGTGGCCAGATGTGACCGACGTTTGCATGGACGAAGCTGCGATTTCAAGTGATCCTGTCATCTCTATGCTTCTTGATGGATCCGTCGTGAAGGAGTGGTGCAAGAGAACGTTCCTCACGACAGTGAGAAAGCTACGCGATATATGTAAGTTTTTTCTTTCCTCCTTTTCTTCTCACTAGCTCTCTTGTCATCGTTTCAGATAATTCCAAGCCAACACAAAGCAAAGCCGATGTTTTAGACAGGCATGGGAAGAGACTACAGGGGTTGTGCTACGTACTGGATGCACTTGAGGCACCACTTACTGCTAGTTCGGCATCTCTAGTGGAGTTGCAGCAGCTTTTAGAAAGCGTTAGGATAGTGATCCAGGTACGAGCTGATATTCTCTCCTGATGTTTTACTAATTGCTGGAAGCTTTGTTCCAGCATTTGGATCTGATGACATGGTGCATACGGCAAAAGTTCCTTGATAATGTTCCGAGCTGCTTTACGAGCATTGCTCACTGGAAGGTTGCCTTTCAAGAACGAAAATGGGCTGCAAACGATAGAGTATGGCCAGAGTACATGGCCAACACTGGACGGCTGGGACCAAAACATGCGGGCGCACTCTTCATCGAAGACGCTTTGAGCATTGGTCTTGGAAAGGACGACGGCGATTCGAGCAACTTGATGCTTGATCTCGGATCATTGAAGCATGGAAACCTCGCTACGTATCAGGCACCTGACAGTGACTATCCTCCAGAAAGTACTCGTGCAGCGGTTGACGCTCTTTTTCTGGAAGGAAGCTCTGATCTCTTCTTCGCCAAAAAGGCAATCGTATCCTTCTGCAATTGTTTTATTACGTTTTCTCTGTTGTCCTTAACACAGCCAGTTTCTCTATTACTTGTTTGATCGGCACTGGACGTGTCCCGAGCTTCAATGGAGACATGTCATCGAAGATTACGTCATGACCTTCTCGATACCAAGACAGTCAATGCTGGAGTCCTTCGTTTTCTACCTTCTTGACAACAAAAGTGATGAGGCATTACAGGTAAGGTCTTGGCAGCGGTTAACAATACTTGTATTGATGCGCTTATTTCAGGAGGCCTGTCGCTGGATCCCAGAGATTGTTAGTCCGAGTCTACATCCAAAAGTTTCTCTCGTTTTGCTGGAGAGAGGAAGGCCTGATGCAGCCTTGTCGGTTCTACAATCAACTGGTCGGTTTAGGCCACGCGAGGAAATATTGACACCGCTACCACTGTCCGAGGCGGTGACGGTTGTCAGAGTGTTGCTTGAATGCAGCATGCTAAGTGAAGCTTACCTCTACCAACAATCACATGTCAAGGCTATCCGAACTAACACCAAGCAGCAGAAGGACGAAGATGTAGTTGCCAGTGACTGGGTGCAGGAAATGGACGTTTTGTTAGGGGAAGTATGCTTCATCTGCATAAGGCAGAACTGCATGGTAAAGGTGTTGGAGCTGCCTTGGAAGCTGGACGAGGAGAAAGTTCTGAGGAAATGTCTTCTTGAGCAGGCGATTGAGGATCCATCATCGTCCTCTGGAAGTCTTCTGGCCGTCTTCTATCTTCAGGTACGTTTTTATGCAGTTGTTGAGTTTCCTAACTTCTTTTGTTTTTTTCTTCTTCCAGCGGTGCCGTTTCTCAGAAGCGTATGCAGTCCATAGGCGCTTGCTCAGCCTTGAGCGGCAATATATAATGGAGAACATGAGCACAGACGTGGTGCAAAGGATATGTGAGCAGCGAACAAAACTGATGGTACGTCGTACTTCTGTTCCTGACTCTCTAATATACGTTGTGTTGTGCAGGAAAAATCGCTGGAGATACTCCCGGAAGTGGAGCGTGAGCAGCTAATGAACGCTACGGAGGATGGCCGGCTCGACAACATGGACTTTGATCCATCACAGGCGGCAGAAGCAACCTCGCGCGTAGAGGAATTCAGCTTTCGGCAACTTCCAACGCTCCCTTCGAGCATGCCCCTCACGAGCACAATACCAGAAACTCCAGGCTTTAGACAACGAGCGACGACGCCGGCCAAGAGTCCCGTGCTGTCGCCGCTGAGATCTCCGTTTCTGTCAGCGGCCAACAAGCCCGGAGGACTCGTGACCCCGGGAATGAGTCCGCTGCTCGGTAAGCGCTTGAGATACGACACTGACGCGAGCTTTTATGGGCAGACCATTACTGACTTTGAAGCTGCTCCTCGAGAGCATGTCCCTGCCAACGAAGACCGCAACCACGCCATGGTTGTCTCCTGGTAGCTGGTAAACATGTCTAATTTTGCTAATGTTTTGAAAATCTGGAGCTTCCTCCAATTGCTTCTGCAAGGCATTCATTCGTTGTTTTCTTCGGGTACGCATCTTTTCTAGTTTCTCTTCGCAAGTTTCTCACGAGGAGCAAGCTTTCTTTCCTTTGTTTTTTTGTGGTAGTAATTCTCCAGAGCGCAGCCACACCCCCGTTTTGGGATGACACGAGTGGGAGAAAAATGATAGGTACTTGGAATTAAGCAAGTGCTTTGTTTCTTATCTTCGTCCTCTCTCTCTCTCTCTCTCACACACACACAGAGTGAAACGCTTGCTCTTGCTAGATCCCGAAGAAGGACCAGATGCTTTTGGTTTTGCTTGCCTCTCTGGATCACAACCAGCATTCCTTGTGAGGAAGAAGTCACGAGCAACGAAAACTTACTTCGATCGCCCGGCGAAGACGTCTTGCAGCTCTGTTGGGGTGGGGCGGCCTGCGAATGTTGCTTCCTGGATGTATGTCTCACTGCTGTAGCCTGTGTCAATTCGCTTGTGGACTTCGTAGGGGCCAGGATACTTCATCCTGCAACATCAAACAATTTTTTTTCAACGGAGGAATTTGAGCTCGGTCTCTCTCTCACCTGAGCGCTCCCATGATTGGATAGAACGTTCCAGCTCTGTAGAGGAGCCTGAAAGAGTAGCAAACGAAGAAAGAGTCTGAAAACTCCATCCTTTGCTCTCTCCCAATCACCTAGGAAAATCAAAGACAACGAAGCTTTCTTATACATTCCAAGTTAAAGTTTACCTGCATCACTCCTCCGGCGCCTGGAACGTCCTGCAAACACATAAGAAAACCATTACTTGTGAGTTTTAGTTTCCATAATGTTCTAACTTGAGTTCGTCACCTTGAGCTGCGGATTGACGAGAATAACTGGTCTGTCTCCGGCTGCTTGCACCATTGCTTGTAAATCCTGTAACAATAGAAAACTCTCTTTGAAATGAACAAAAAAGGAGGAGAAAATCAACACGCGACTTTCACCTCTATGATGCAATTTCCGACGGCATTTTGCGGAGCCATGAGGATGAACATGTCATCCGTTTCGAACACATCGCTTGCAGCTGAGAGAGAGAGATCAGTACATCCATCGATCCAGAAAGAATAAAAAACAAAAAGCATTCATGACTTTGGCACCTATTGCACCAATGTTGACAAACGTTCCTTTTGCTCCGTAGTCGCCCCAGTCCATAACCTCGAGCATCCTCCTGGAGCCCGAGAGTTGCAGTGGCATTCCTCTGAAGATCCCTTCTCCCATTGGGCCTTGTACACAAACCTGAAAGATGTTTAAGCTCGTCAAGTTCTTCCTAGTGAATGAACTGAAAAGAGAAACAATAAGGGAGGAAGAGATCAAATACTTTGACTCTTTTCCCATCGTTGGCAAACGTAAATGCAAGCTCTCGCACCAGCTCCAGCAAGGTTCCAGCTCTGTAAACATCCTGCACAAGAGAGCTTGATCATCAAAAGCCAGAACAAAAAGGCTGTGTCTTTTGATAAATACCATCTCAGGATTCAGCTCCGGTATTGTGATTTCAACCTGATTGTAATAAGACTTTGTTTGCTTCTGTACCTATTATGCGAATATATCATCAGCTGAGCAAACCTTGAGCTTGTGAAGGCCGTCTTCAACCGCATTTCTCACGCCTTCGCAGACCTCTGTGTAGAAATACTCGCGGATTTCTCTCGAGTGCGGGATGCTATTTAGTTTAGTCGGCATCCCTCTCCAGCTGTCCTGGAAGTTTGCTCTAGCATGGAGCTCTCAGCTGGAAAGGAAAGCTTCTTAACTTACCGAGTTGAGAAAATACCTGCTTAGGCTTGGATACTTTTGTAGCAGCCTTCAAAGAGGAAAATACGCTGTTTAGAAAGAAACTATGACCGAGAACGAACTAGCCAACCTTGATATGATCGTCCAGAAAGCTACTAATGTCTCCAAAAACCTCGCTCTTGGGTCGATTACCATCAACCTGGCATTGCATGCATCAAAGCTTTTCTCTCGAAAAAAGAAAAGATCAATCAATCACCACATACAGTTTTGATGCAGCTCTCGTACACAGACAACACAGAAGCGAGGTTCTCGTGGTAAGTTCGCAAGCGCTCCATTGCCTAGGAAGTTTAGCTGTGAAACATTCTTAAAAACAACATCTTTACCTTTTTTTCGGTGTCGTCACTGCGTTGAATCAGCCTCGCGGCAACCTCTGGATCCTCGGGAGGGAAATACTTGAGGTGGTAAATCTTTCCAGTCACGGGATCGAGCCTTCTTCCGACCACTCGCTCGATCAAGACGTCTTCGGGCACCTGAGAAATTCAGCGTGAAGGAAGAACCAAGTCGAAGAAAAGAGGCAATACTTGCCTCCAGTAGTATGAAAAGCTGTGGTCTTATTTTCAGAGCTTCGAGTGCTTGAGCCTGTGATAAACTCCGGGGATATCCATCCAGGAGCCAGCCAGCTTCGCAAACATCTGGTAGCTGCAATCTTTGCTTGACCATCTATGAAAACTTTCGCGAGTGAGAATGAAAGAGAATTATGCGATAGAACTTACCGAGACCACAACATCATCGGGAACAAGTTTGCCTTGATTCATAAACTCCTTGGCCCTCTTCCCATAATCAGTGTCTGCGGCAACTTCCGCTCGTAGCAAATCTCCAGCGGAAATATGGACCAGATTGTACTAGAATTGTCACACACAATTGTAAGCTTGCAACACAACTTTCAGTGGATGGATCATACCTTGTCTTTGATCATCTCACATTGCGTGCCCTTGCCTGACGCTGGGGCGCCTGAGATCATAACGTTGAGGCCACCCCCTTGCTTCCGAGCGTAAATCTACACGAGAACGAGCAAATCCATTGACAACCACACACACAAAGCCGATAACAAATCAAGGATTGGATTGAGGCCATACCACTATCCGAGTGGTCTTCTTTGTGGAGGAGATTGAGACGCTCTTATAGGGCGCATTGGTAATGATCGATTGCCTCTCTTTCCAGGCCGGAGGATACAAGGACCAGGAGGCCACGCCACAGCTGGAAGCACCATTGGTGCTCTTGTGGGGCGAGCACGGCGAGCCCAGAACACCAAGCGAGTGCGAAGCCATAGCTTCTCACTTCGGCCAAATGAAAAAGAAAATATTTTAGTAATTTTAACATGATTTCTCGCGGCCACTTGAAAATGACCCAAGAATATGCCTGGAACCTCTGAAAGGTGAAGGATTATCGACACTAGTGGATTATTTATGCCAAATAAAATTGCTACTTATTGAAAGAGGTGGAATGGAATAGAAGTCACTGTATAAGATGGGATTTAGATGCTTTCGTGTGAAAAGTATCAAATTGAGATTGATAGTTATAATTTATAGAGAATTTGCTGAAACTATGTCTAAGGATTATTAGATAATTAAATTGAAAAACCTGTTAAAGAAAATATTAAGCCAAGTAAAAAATAGGCAAGCCGATTTCCCTACTTCATTTGTTATTCATTCTGAGTTAGTTTAGCTAAATAAACTCCACATTAGGATGAGTACGCACAAAACATTATGTGGTAAACCATTTTTATTTTCATGTCTCTTCTATGGCATTATTACTTGCTAGGGTCAAATTTCCAACTACTCAGTCCCATTCTAACAAACAAAGTTAAAAAGCACAAACAGAGTTAGATGTATTTGGAAGTTAAAATATTGCGTTTGATCAACCATTGTACTGGAGAAACATGTGTAGTTCACAACCTTCTAACTTTGGATTACTTTTGTTGCTTCATAAGAGAGGTGCATCAGCCTAAAAGTTATGTGACCTAATTGCAGCTGTCAATCTTAAGATTTATGTATACTTAAAACTTATCATTTTTCCGAAAACAAAAACCAAGTCTCTTCATTGAGTTATTGGTGGGCTCTCAAATAATGGATTGATTCGCATTTTGTGCTATTGCTTGTGGATCAAATTCTTGATCGACACTGTCGCTCCAGTGATCCCAGCAATGGCACTCAGCACCACCATGGCGCACAGCCCCGCCTTCTCCATCCGGCTCACCTTATCCCCAAAGATCTTCACGTAGAACAGGCACGGCATGATGATGCACAGCGTCACGTTGAGGGACGATCCAATAAGCTGGATGATATTCACGAAGTACGGGAAGAGCACGGCGGCGAGAGCAATGCCGGAGAGGATCATGCTGCGGAGGAAGACGCAGGCGAGGTAGCCGAGCTTTGGGCTGTGCCGCGAGTCAGAGAGATTTGGCAGGAGGAGCTGCTCGAGTTCGTGGGCGATTGGGGAGAGGAGGAGGGCGAACTGGGTAACAGGGGTGAGAAATGTCGCCCAGATTGCGATCTTGGAGGGAAGGAGGTGTGGCGGCATGTTGAGGTGAACTTGGGGCCTGGTCTGGGAGCCAAACATGATCGCGCCGAGGATGCCCACGATGACATTGAGCGTGATCGCGGTCGCAAAGGAGATGACCATCACCTGTTAAAGAGTGTAATTGTGAGTTTAAATATTTTCATGGTCCAACCAAAAGGTGACAGAGCAAGAAGAACAAAATAAATTGATAACATAAATGCACTAGAACAAGATCATCAGGAAGCTTACTTTTGGGAAATCGCCCTGGTTCTCCATGGATCTTTGAATGTTTGGCAACACTGGCGTGGATCCAAACGTGAAAGTGTACACTCCAGTCGCAAGGGGAAGATTCTTGACATTGACAACGGCCACGGGCTGATCGAATCCAATTCCATAGTCTGCTCCAGCCACGACGAGGCACACAATGGTGGCGAGGATGCTCATCCCGCACCAAAACGTGAGATAAGAGATCGTCCGCAAGTTCCGGAACCACGTTGTGGGAAGAACCAGGAGAAACGCCATGCAAGTGAAGAGAGCCTTGCCTCGGATCACGCCCAGGACGTTGATCCTGGAGCTCGGGAATATGTGCGTGAGGGTGTCACCCATGGAGACGAGGTAACCCGTGAGCGTTCCAAGGATCCGGAGGTAGAAGAGCGTCCGGACAAGAATTGGAGCCCAGGATGGGAAGGCCTTGGTTGCTACGTCCTGATAGTTTGCGAGACTTGGATCGTGGACGAGGCACTTAGAGATGAGCTTGGATCCACACCAGTAGAAGGATGCGGTGATAAGCAGAACGAACAGCCCGAAGAAGCCCGATCTCTCTATCGCGTACGCGGAGGAGAGCGTTCCCAGGCCTGCGAGCAAAGAAAGTTAGAATCATAGATTATGAAGGTGTCCTTGCATACCAATGAGCAGGACGATGGAGTTTACTGACGCTTGGAACAAGGTGGCTTTGTTGTTCTCCTTGTCTTGCTCCGGGTTCTTGCAGCAGTCATCGATGATCTTCGAATTCCCGGACTCGAGCTCGACGTGCTGCTGCTGCTTCTCCATGTCGATCAAACAACGATGAAATCGAGTAAGCGAGCGAGAGAGCGGAGAAAAAAAAGAAAGAGCGAGTTCTAACCGACTCGGCTCTTTCTTTTTTCTAGTGATTTAGAGAGCAAGCAAAGCTTGCTTATATAATGCAGCCGACAAGCTGGATCATTAGATAAGTGATGCTCTTCTCTTTCTTGTTCAAACAGATTCCAGCCAAGATCCTTGCCGATAAAACTTTTATAATTGAATTTCTCCTCTTTGTGGAGAATCACACTACGCCAAAAAACTTTTAAGTACCGAGAACTTGTCAAAGCTTCTGTGCGAAAATCCGGAAAATCATGCAAGTGACACGAGACAGAAAAAAAAACAAAGAAAATGAGTATTTGTGCGCACCACCCAAAGTTTCCACCCCCAAACTTACTGGAACAACTGGATTTTGCTGGCAAAATCCCCAAAGAAGTAGCTAAATTACTAAAGACTATCACGAGATTCGAAGGAGCATTACTAGCACTGCTTGCTTCACCGCGTCACAATTATACAAGCATTATTTGGATGCCCAGAGCATCACCCAGCGATTCCCACTCTGCCACTAAAGGAGCTTTCTCGAGTTTGCGAAGCCACAACTTTGATCTTCTAGATCCTGGAATTGTTGGCACACACGTTGTTGCCTCGGTGTCTGGTCTCCTGGTTGCGAAGATCACACAGTTTGATAATACTTTCTTCCGCCACAAACTCCAGATCGCATTCCTGAAATGTGATTCCTTTGCTGTCAAGCTAACGCTCACACAGTAGAGTTTTTTACGATTCAGAACGATGTAAATCTTGGGTGATCACTTTGCAAGAACTTTGGGGACCGCTTCCACTTCCTGAAGCCACCGAGAGTGCAAAGGGCAGGGATCGGTCGTCCCAGACGCGATTGCTCGCTCCGAGATCCCGTAAAACCATCCGTTCCTCCATTCGAACTGAGACATAGACGAAGCATGTCATCACAGGAAAAGAGTGCGAAAAAAAGAGTAACGACCTCTTTCACAGCGGTGGGAAAGTAAGCAACCGATCTGGCATACGAACACAGGCGTTCCTCGAGCCCGGGATCAAAAGCCACGGATTTTTCCGAAGAGGCTGCGGCAGCAAGCTCGGTTATAAGCTCGGAGACCTGTTGCAAGTAGGAAAAAGAGGGAGCTTTCCGTTTTCTAGAATGAGATGAACATGATATACCTCGTCACGGTACCTCTTCTCGACGTCTCCCACAGTTGCGCCAGGGTGACGGGCACCAACAAGCATGAAAGCTGAAATCCATATCAGCTTCTCAAGCATGGGCTTGGCAAACTCGCGGGCGTCCAGCACCTGTTGAATCCATCCTGCCATTGGAGTAAGTCGAGAGAGCTTCTTTCGAAAGAAGAAAGAAAGAAAAGTTCTCTTTTCTCTCTGGTTCTCACGAGAGTTTCTTTGCGATAGTACCTTGCATGACAATCCTCCAGCGTGTAGCCTTGCAGCAACGGCAGCAGCCCATTTCCCACACGCGGCAGTGAGGCCTTCGGGATTGGCATCCGTCTTGCCATCAACGGGCTCGTCCCCGAGCTTGGCGACCGCGAAGTAGACGAGGACCTGCGTAGCTTCTGCCAATCCACGCTTCTCCAGCCACGGCTCCAGCATCCCATTCTGGAAGAACACCAAGTCTGGGAGAAGAAGCGAATGAGAGGAAGCCTAGAGAGAATTCCATGGATTCTATGGATACCTTCGCGACGGTGTGCCGGGGTAGCGTCCACGACAGCGTCCAGATCGTTGTTCCGGGTGCAAACAAAGATGGGGCCGGAAGAGAGACTGGATGGAAACGGCTGGCCTCGCAGCAAAACAACGTCCCTGCCATGCCCCAGCTTTTCAAGAGCCGACCCAATTCGGCCCCGCCCAACAATCACTGCCGGTGGCGGCAGCATTGAAGCCACAAATGCCGCCATGGTTTCAGCGATAAACCCTAACTTGGCACTCGGGTTTAAGCAATTAATGGATATATTTAGAATATGTTTGAAAATCTTAGGATATTCTACAATCGATCCTTGGACATTTAAATATTTATAATTTATAAACTACTTTCTAGTATATTCTAGTCTAATGGTATGTTTATAATTATAAACTTCTAATTGGATTAATAAATAATAAACGGTTTCGAGGTAATCCCGCAAATAACTATAGAGAGTCTTTCAGCCATTTTATGACATGTATCCGCATCAGGTTTCATCAAGTTGCAAAATGCAATGTAGCAATGCGACACCCAATCTTCGTGCAAGTCTCTTTTTAGTATTGCCTTCAGGGCTAAAGGGAATGGCTGGCATGCCAACTTAAAAAGTAATTTAGCATTCTCTTGCTTAGTCCTAAGACTTTCCCAAAGACTTTTCCACTTACGATCATAACCTAAAGGTGGTAATGATAGACATTATGCTAGTTGTTTATCATCCAATTTGAGCCGGCCTCCCTTTATGGCATCCTTCACAAACGTATCTCCCAGTTTGTTGTTCACCGTTACAAGCGTTTCAATAAGCTTTGAAGTTGGATTCACAATCATCTACAGCCCTTTTCAAAATAGATGCAAAGAGAGATACTATCCAACCCAACCTGATAAGCTTGTGCTGGATCAGCAATCTCAAGCAATATACCAAGACCATTGTCCACGTCACTTCCATGGCTTATGAAGAACGACTTAACCCTTGGCTTTTGCCCCTAAACCAACGAAGTGTTTAGACTCCATAGGCCAGACCGTGTCAAACACTATTTGATAGACATCTGGTTCTGCAGCCACATTTGGATGTTCCTTAACCATTTCGCGAAAGAGCAGGGTTTGTAGCTCAAACTCTTCTTTGTCTCTCTGAAAGGGAACCCATTTAAAAGGATAAGCAACTATTCTGGTGAAAGTCTCCTGATCACATGTCTGGGTAAGCGAGTCCAGAGCATCGTTTGCAAACTCAGCATCAAGAAACCTCCGGATCACAATGCGGCTGTGCCTCTTCCCAATGAGCTTGTGGAAAACTGGTACCTTTGTCAGTGGTGCCTTGTTAATAATCAAATCAATCAACTTTGTCAGTTGTTAGTAATCAAATCAATTAGCTCATCCGTGAAGAGTTCTTGACATTCTGGTGAAGGTGCCCAAGCCCCACGCAGAGATATCCGTCCAACTTCAGATCTGAATCTTTCCAAATGGAATCCATGAAATCCAACCCTAAGTTTACAAATATATATTTGAAGCATTTCCTTAAACAAACTTGATGATCTCAAGACATTGGAAGCATCTGTGCCAAATTCGCCGGTAGCATCCGAGGCGGCGTGATGGACATGCACTCCAAAGAATTCCGGAACGCTTCCTCGCCACCATCATGGTGCTCGTAGCCTTCCTCTTCGGCCTCCATCAGATCATCCGGATCTAACACCTCTTCCTCCTCCACAACAGGCTCCTCCTCGTCGCTGCTCTGTTCCTCGACTTCGTTTGCCGAGTGAGCCGCAGACCAGTGCGTGAAGATTGGCTCGATAAATCTGTCCACCATTTTGTTGTTACTCAGCACAGTAGAAACAATTACCATGGTCTTACCTGTCCGATCGTCTCAGCAAGTAAGGATCAAATGGGAAGAACATCTCTAGCCTGTTGTCACCTCCATAGGATTTGAATGACAAGACCTCGAATCCGGAGCTAGGCTCTACAGTGCCGCTGTAGCTGATAAGCTGAATTGCCGTCGCTTGCCTGACAAACTCCTCGACGACGGAGGGAAGACACACCTAGTAGCATAACGAGCATTAGCACACAACCAATTATGCTCTTGCGGGTTACCTTAAGAGGGCAAAGCTTGTGCTCTATCAGCTGTTGCAATCTCAAGCCTTTCAGCAAGGGTCTTTGCGTAGAATCCGCATGAAGCTCCCTCAATCTGAAGCAGAGAATGTACATTACTGCCTGCATGAAACATGAAAGTTAATGACCGTCCAAAGCCAGAGTAAAATGATCACCTGACAAGCAGCATAGAAGACTCCATGAAGGGCTGTGTCTGTCAATTTGAACACGTCGAACCTTGTAGGAGTAAAGCTGACACACCAGTTTACTAGCCTGTAGATAATAATCTCATTAGAATGACTCCCTTTGTCTTATGAAAGCAGTACCTTGAAACGGATGAAAGCACCACAGGCAAAGGTAAGAAGTTTGCCCTGGCAAGGTAGCTCGCAAGGTATGCGGCAGCAGACATCCTGGAAAAGAACCATAATTAGAGAGGTTTCCTTCTAAAGCTCAGAGGTTGTACCTTGTGTTGCTAGGAATAGACCGAGTCACAAATGTCTCGCAAAGAAACCCAGCGAAGTTCACCCCGCAACTTGAAGGAGATAACGAGCACAGATAGAAGATCAAGAACTGAAGAAAACAAGCTTGTTACTAAAATTCACACTTCACTTCGACAAGACATACCTGCGTAAACTTTGACTTGTAGGTGTCAAGGACAGTCGACTTGAAAGAAACCATTAGTGTTGTATACACCTCGTCGAGCCTTTCATTTTTCGCACATTGATGCAAGTGCTCAAACACCAGTTCCATCAAATGGTCCATCTTGTCTGCTATTTCATCTAAAGGCTTCTTCCCTGAATGCGCTGCTAACGCATGCTCCAATTGAGCCTGCAAGAAACTCACGCATTAGAATTCTTATCTAAAGATAAACAGATGAGATATTTACCTCACTACCGGGAGCCGCTTGTTTGTCATCGGATTCATCAACATCCATATGGAAGACCAAAACTTTGCTACTATCCTCATCCTTCAAAATGTCCTCCCAAGCTATCTCTACCTGGAAGGATAATGAGAATAAGAGAAAAAAAATAATAAAACCGTGTAAGCTCTTACATCTATCTCGATCAGCCTGTCGACTATCCCCAACAGCATCCGGCTGCTTATAGCTGGACTAACGCGCTTGCTATCTAAAAGTAACATATTCTCCAGGAACAAAGAATTCCACTGCACAAAACTTGTTCAAGGTAAGGCCGTTTGAATCACATAAAAAGAAGAACGAACTTACATCTTTGTCAACCCTTCGATGAGGCATTCTTTGCTGGACGATCGGATGAAGCCTCAGAGCGGCAATTGGGACCAACTCCAAAATTCGTTGTAGAGCTAGATGCACACGATTCACGACGTCACTTTTCATGGACAAATGTAGCGGTTTTAGTCCTTTAAGACTTTCAAAAGTCATCTTTTTTCTAGCAAGCCTGTCTTGTGTATAACAGTCAAGATGCACCTTGATACCACATGAGGGAGGCAAAAAGTTCCGCACTAGCATGTCCAAGCATCTGGGCACCAAAACACCGCTAGAAGTCGCCTGAAATGAAAACATCTAAGCATTCCGGAGAAACAAATCATCTGTCTACCTACCAAATTCACGACAAGGTTCTCAATTGCATCCAGAAGCTCATTGCTGCCACTCCAGAAGCTCATAGAAAACACCTAGAGAAAATTTTCTTAGTACGAAGCATTAGAAAACAGAAGGGCGACTTACAAGCGATAGCAGCATCTCGTGATCCCGCTCGTTGATAATGCTTACACATTGGGAGAGCGCTCGTATTCTTGCCTGGAAAAATTACAACGAAAATAAGGCTTCCCTACAATAAAAATTTAAATTCCACGTACCGCCAAGCCAGAGACGCTTTCTGGATCATCGAAGTCGACGTTTTTCAAGTCCGAGAGCAATTTCCGGTAGCGATCGATGTCCTCCTGCAAGGAACCCAAAACCCTAAGCCTCAAAAACCCCAGGACAAGCAATCACACACATACCCCAGACAACGCTTGCAACATCCACGACCGCACAATCTCTTGGAGCTGCTTATCGTCCACTTCCGCAGCCGCCGCAGCCGACTCTTTCGCTTGCCCTTCCATCGCCATGGCGGCGACACTTGAGCTACATTTCTGCCGGCCCAATTTTAGGGCTCTTGGATTAGGGCTTAGCCGACATCTGGGGTATATCCCGCGGCATTTTGCGCGCTTGGAGCTTTCGAAAATTTGAGCAAGCGCGCCATTTAAGTAGGTCTCTTTAGCTAGCTGGCTGACTGGCTGGCTGTTGCAAAGCCCAAATTCAACCCCTGCGCAACACCACATGGCCACATGCCTTTCGGTACCTGCCGCGTGGCCGTCTGCCATTGGCCAGCAGCGTCGACTTCCACGGCAGCAGCAGCACATCACGAGTACAAGGCATGTCAGTACGGCGCACATGCCAATGTGTATCTCCGCTGTACGGGTACGTATTTGCGGGCGAGTGGTACCGTATGCCCGTCAGGCACATGGGCCAAAAGCGTAGCGCGACGGGATGGTGTCAGTGGCCACATCTTCGTGTGCATGTGGACACGCAACCAAAAAGGATGCGTACGGAACGCGGCCTTTTAAAAATCCTCGGGAGAAATATCCCAGCCCTCCTGTGGTGACCGTTGAAAGAATTTAGGGTTTTAAAGGTTAGGGCAAATTGACATGCACGTGCAGTGTCGCTCGACTTGTTTAATCTCCGCGGTGAATCACGATTCCGGGGATCATCCAATCGCTTGTTAACAGGAGGGGCGACACATGTATCTATCTCGGAGCTTGTCTTTGAATCACAGCGCATAGCACACGTTCACTGGCGAATTGTTTTTGTAAGCGGGACGTGTGTACGGATTAGGTCCTTGGTGTTGACCAATCTTGCTTAGGCATTTTGTAAGGTAAAATTTACATTTATACTCCACCAACTTGGATCGTTTTCACATGACAAGCTCTGCTGGCCATGGTGTGTCCTAATCCGCGTGTTTTCAGTGTGTTGTGATAGTTTCACATGGCCAATTTGCAGGACTTGGCAATGCCCACAAACAATTCTAGGGTTCCTCCTTGTCTGTCCACACGGTGAGATCCCTCTAACGTGTAACGTTCTAGTAGAGGGATTTTAAAGGATCACTTCGATTTGAGTAAACTTTGTGAGAAAGTTCCGATCGAATGGATTATTAGTGTCTGCTGGCTAGCGATGCAACCGTGCATGTGGGGAGTGCATGGCACTTCCGGGACATGGGAGGTTTCTATATGATGCAAAGAATGTCTTTCTATGTTCTAGGCAGTGTAATCAAAGGCAATAATCTACACGGGAGATAAGAAAAGGCGGAATCGAGGCTGGTTGACCGATCTCAAAGCCTGGTGAATGTCCTGACTTTGAGTTGCTACCCATGGCCACGCCCTAGAAAATCATTTCCAGGGAAACGAGGGAGCCCCAATCACCCAACACTTTCAACTGTAGAGATCTCCCGCCCCATGTCTCGCCACGCCCCCGTCCCCCAAGATCCGAAATCCACAAGGGGCCAGCTCACCCAAGTTGAATTCCTCGCTAGATCTCACATGGACGCACTAGAAACTTGTGCATGGATGCGATTGAAGCGGTGGCGAAACTTGCATTTAAAAGAGAAAACAATGCGAGGTAATTCGATCCGAGGGGCTATGGTATCCTTTGCTTCGTGTGTCGCATAGATTTACATCAAGGCGCGAGATCAATCCATAGACAATGCGAAGTAACACATGCGCTTCGCCACTTTTCTAAAACCATCCCCGGTCCTCACTTTGACTTGAGTGATGCAAATGCAAATGTATGCTGGCTGGCTGGCTAGTAAATCTTTATAAACATCAGTAAAAACCTTGGTAATCTTACCCTGCCTACAGCTCCATGGTCTAAATTCATGACATGATCTTCCCCTCCGTGTCAGGGATGGAACATGGCCAAGAAAACTAGAAGAAGCATATTCTTTGTGATTGGCCTGAAAGGTGCCGGAATTATTCGCACAGTACCCCCACAATCTTTGTTAGTGCATCATGGGCCACTCCAATCACATTCCATTCCATTCCCACACTTATTCATTCGTTTCCAATGTAGTTAACCCTACGCCACCTTTGCGTGCACTCCATGCATACAAAGTAAGTTAGTTACCTTGCCCGTTTCCACCGTTGGATGGGCATACGCCCGCCGATCCAACCGCTACCAAACGCGTACATTATATGTACTCTTCCGTGCGGAGTGGGCCACAACTTGGAGCAAGGGGAATATCCGTACGTGTGGGTCATTAGCACGCGCGCATGTGCCCCGGGTATCTGTATGTATCTGCCCTCTATCATTACCACCACCTGCCATCCAATTTAACTTCCATCCACACTGTCCACGTCGGCTTTTAACCTGCGTCACATGCACAAATACATTTTCACCCGTGAGGAATATGCCGGGGGAGCTGGACCCATCGTACGTACGGCCGGTTTAGCGGCGTTTTAACCTACTAGGTTCTCCTTTAGTTTATTTTAGTTTTGTTTCTTGGTATGCGTGCTTGCGCGAGGGCTTTTTGAGCGGCATTCCTTTCCTTGCCCCTTGAGAGTTTGCTCATCGCGATCGCGATAGTTTGGCCGCTCGTCACGGTCTGGAGTGTGATCTCTCCTATCCACATTTTCCCTGATTCTTGGATCTTCGCGTTCTTTGCTCGCCCGCTCGTCCCGCGCCCATTTCCGATCGATTCTCTGGTTTCTCGGGGCAGATGCGTTGCTGATTTCTACATTCCAGCGCTCCTCTCATGGCAAGAGATCCAGCTTACGATCTCTCTCGCGGTTTCACCTCTCCATGCGATTGGGCCGCCTCGTTCGCCAAGAACGAATCGCAGGCTCTAGCCGGCTTTGGCGTCGCCAGGAAATTCCAGTCGTCACGGTTACAGCAGCAGCCACTTCCCCTGAGATCCATCTTCACAGACAGTACGGTTCCAACGCTAGCTCGCCTCGCTAATTCTCCAGCCACAAGGGATGATGGAGCGAACGAAATTTGTGCCAGGAATGGAGCCCCTAGCAGCGCGAATCCACAAGACCCAATCGATGGATTGGATCTTGGGCAAAGGCCCGAGGCGACGTCCGAGTCGGGCTGGACGGCCTACTTGGATATCTCCGTGGATTGGAACGCTTACAACAGTTTGTCGAGACATCTGATAAGACCCGGATCGATCGACGGTGGTGGGTCGATGGAGGACGAGTGGCGGGAAGATTCGTCCATGGAGTCGGACGCGTCCTCTGGTCCCGAGCAGCCCGAGCTCCTCCGAAAGGAGGGGTTGAGGAGGAACGCTCTACGGGGGAAGAGAAAGTCGGCGGCGGTGAGGGAAACCAATCCGTGTTGCGTCGTCCGGGAGGGCGATAATGATCTCGATGATACTTGCCAGTCGAATCTCAGCTGTGAGTCGGTCTCGGACGATCCGAGACCGGCTAGACGGCGATGCAAGAGAAGTAGAGTCGGCGATGATCATCAACCAGCATTGTCACGGCCTCCTCAGGTAAATTAAAACATGGGAGTTTCTGATCTGGAAACTTATCATGGATGCTTCTCTTTGCAGGTTGTAGATGAGCACTCGGATGAGAATGAGGTCGAGGTTGAGGCTGGCGAAGCCGAGATTTCCAGCCCTCCAAGCGTCAATGTAAGAAGCGAGCTTCTGCTTCCGGGCTTTGATCGTTTCGTGGATTGACGCTTTTGTCTTCCTTCTCCACCAGATACACGAGAAAGCTGTAGATTCACGCTTGGAGTTGCTGCAGCACTTGATACCACATAGTAGTAGACAGGTACGGGGCGATCTGGTTTGGCTCTTGAGAAGCGCGCTAAGTATTCCGTGTTTGTGTAAACCATTTGCAGCTGGATGAAGAGCAAGTGCTAGAAGTCGCGATCGACTACGTGAAAAGTCTGGAAGAGGAGATCAAGGTAGAGCTCCTTGGCTGCTGCGAGCGATCCTAGCGGAAGTTCTAAGCTTTGTTTTGCCTTCTCAGATGTTTGGAGCTTCAAAGGATGGATTGAGCAGCGAGCAATCTGCCTCCGCTGGCGATAGCGCAATGACCTCGCAGAGTTGCCAAGCTGCAAGTGCGTTGCAGGACAAGGGCATTTGCATGTTCCCACTGTCAATGGTGGTGGCAACGACAACATGACGCAACGATCAGTCCTTTTGTATGATGCATTGCTGCTGCTGCTGAGCTCCTTGTACCAGTGCCAAGTTATAATGCTCTTCTTTTTTGGTGCCAAGATCATCCACTGATCCAACAGAAAAGGGTATCATCGATGTCTTGGTTTGTAAAACAAGAATGTCTTGCTGCTTCCCAGTTTGCTGGAGCAAGAAGCATGGGCACAACACACAACACACAAATCCTTTTTGATCTCAAGCTCAACTTGTATCTTGTGTCAACTGTTAAAAAGAGGAAAGAACACCTTGCTCTTTATCTCTGGTTGGTAAGCAGATCTACACCTGCCTTTTGTTCTCATGCATGACAACACCACACACAAAACAGTGCAAGCGAAAATTTAGAAAGGTACCCACATCATATGTAATGTGTGAGTGCATGTTTGAAGCAACAGCCAGGTAAAGTCAGGAAGGATCAAACAAGAGTTAAAACTCTTTTCTGAATGCAGCCATTCACCCAGGCAGCCATGCATGCATAAGCATTAACAACATCCCCAATAAAGTAGGGATGATGAAACAGTACTTACTAGAAGGTAGGCTGAGCCCAGCTCTGGAGCAGCAAAATAACACAGGCTTTGAATTTGTTTGCATTCTTCTTGTGAGTGCTGCAGGCAGGGAGGCAGGAGGGGCAGGGCAGGGAGGGGGGGCAATGAAGGGAATATAAACTCATTCTATCTCCTTGTTTTTGCATTGCTCTTGTGGGAGAAGAGGAAGATGTGGATGTAGACCTACCTAACCCCTTCCTGGGGGACAATGCTAACACTGTTACTCCTGGTATGTCAAATTCCTGGCATGGATGCTTATATGATACTGAATAAAAAAAATGCCAAAACAGTATGTTATGTGTCATATGGGCTTCTATTCTATGCCTCATAATCTGTTTGGAATCATGCACAATTTGGGGGAGGGACTGGTGGTGGTGCTGGTTTGAATTTCAGGCCCTCCACCATCATGATCACCATCACCTTGTGAGGAATATGACAGTGAGGTGTGCCTGGCATGGGCTAGCTTGTTGCATGTGCAATGCTGGCCTGTTCTCTGCTCCCTCATCCCTCTTTCACTCCTTTCAGTCTTGTGGCGTCAATGGAGGTAAAAGATTTGGTGGTGCTGTGTTGTGAGAACAGTGGTGGTTGACTCCTTCCTAACTGAACATGAACTGCTAAAAAAGCACTAAAGGAAAAGAAAAGAAAAAAAGAAAAAAAGAAACAACAAACAGCCAATCTCTGCCTCTGTCTCCCGATTCTGGGGCCACGGCAAAATCTCCAAAAGCCTGCTGCTGCCACTGCGCGTTCTCAGGGCAGCGAGCGAGAGTTTCACATACACACAGAGATCCAGAGCATATGCTACCTCTTGGTTTCCCTCACTGTCACTTGTTACCCAGGGAAGGATTTTTACAGCTCCTCCTTCCTGCCTGAGCGCCGAGCATGGGGCACGATGGCATGCCCATGCATGCGACATCGCACTCAAGGAATTGAATTTGGGGGTGGGGGGTGCTTCAAGCCTCGTTTGTTCCCTCTTTTGTTTGGTAGCTAAATTCACACTAAAAAGAAAATATCCACCGGTCAGCAGCAGCACAGCAGCAACAACAACTTTGGTACGATTGTGTTTCCGGCCAGCCAGCGACCTACCTATATATTCCCCCCTTTCAATTCCGTCAACTTGTTGCCACTAATTGCTAATGCATTAAGTCCATGCTGTACCACCACCACCTTGGCCCTATAGACACACTCCATACAGCTCAGCCCCTCTGTTTCTCTCTCTCATTGGAGAGATAGGCAGTAAGGAAGATCTCACAGGATCTCAGCACTGCAAAGACAAAGATACACACACGCACACTCTCTCTAGTATAAATTGCTTAGCTAGCTATTGCTTTGCTTGTCAATCTCTCTAATACTACTTACTTACCTCAGTGATGTTCATGTTATAAGCCATAGCTAGCCAATCCCACTAGGAGCATGAGACAATGTCCCCCAGGGACAAAGAGAAAAGGAAACGCAAAGGCTTACATTTTTTGTTCTTGATCTTGTGAAGGCTGTGCTATGCGATTGTACACATTTGGTTGTTGTTGTGTTTCACTGGATGGCAGCATATAACTCTTGTTCCCTTTTTGAGGCACTCAGCTGGAGCATGGGCCAGAAAAACGGTCAGCAAGCAAAACAACAAACCAAAACAAAGAGAAGCTTACGAGTTGCATGAGTTGATCGTCTGTTATACCCGCGGGAGCCTCTGTCATGTGGAGTTGTCTGAGTTTCTTGTCGATTTCCTGGCGGCCACGGGTTGTTCAGTGAAAAACTCGAGGCGAGACACTTATGTTACCTCCATTTTTTCTTCGTACTCTCGCCTCTCCTTCAGCTCCCCTAAGTAGTCCTCCACAACTGTAGTTCCTGCGAAAGGCTCGAGTGCTCTTGACAAAGCTTCATGATGCACGGAGAACTCCTCTGACTTGGTCCGAGATTCGCCATTCTCGAAATACGACTTCCTCTTGGGCGTGGACACTGAAACAGAAAAACGCGAGTTTGTGAGTGCGTGAATATTTTGATAGAATGCTGGAGAGAATTTAATCTCTTGGAATACCTTGTGCACGGATAAAGTTTACCTGAAGCCATGGGAGACAATGACGGACATCCAGGCATCAAAGTTTTGCTATTTGGAGTAGAAGCTGCAAACAAAAACTGCGTCAGCCACCAATATTGAAGAACCAAAATAGAAAAAACAAGACGTACACGACGCCATGGGTGAAATGGAATAATAGCTGTGGCTCTCTTTGTAAGGGTCTAGCCTGCAGTCTATCTCTGCCAGGCGAACGGCCTCTTGGCCCTCCACATCAAAGGCCTGCTCCAAATTCTTTTAGTGCGAGCATACCAGCGTCGAGTGTTAAAAAATACCGTTGAGACATGCGAGATAACACTGCTATTATCCCCATCGTCGTCAACAATGTCTTGCTGGCGAAGCAATTCTTCCACCATCGCTTCCTCCTCTGGCTGGAAAAACAAAACAGCTAGTTATAGAGCAATCTGACCGAGTAAAACACGCTCACCGTGAGCCTGAAGTACCTCGCACTTGGTCCTAGAAGAATATTTCTTAAAACATGACCTTGTTTCTCAGGATGCAAGGCGTCTAGATTTTCCAGAGATCGCTTAAGTTTCGCATATCTTCGTCGTCTCTTCCTCTCATCCCTGAGAAGAACAGATACTCTCAACAGGCTTTCGAACAAGTTACTCTCTTACCTCAGCTTTCTTGATGCATCGGACTCATATTCTCTACCGCCGAGACGGCGATTTCTGGCTCCTCGCTCCAGCTCTTGAAGCTTCATATCCAGCATAGTGATCGTCTCTAGACTGCTCCAACCATTTAAGTACAATAGATAAATCTACTCAAGTCTTACCCACGGTTGATCTTGTCGGCTTCTTCAGGTTTTAGCTTGTCCTTCTGTCCTAAAAATTCCGGGAAAAAACAGTCATGCTTAGTGACAAGAAAGAAAGAAAGAAAAATTCCCTGCCGGATCACCTGGTCGAGATTCTTGAGCCGTCTCCGGCTCTTCTTCTTCATGTCCTCGACGAAAACTTCCATTTCCATAATAAACGTTCTTCGCGGACCCCCATCAAATCGCGCATTTCCATTTTCCTCGCAACCTTGAACGATCGCCAAAGATGATGAGGCATTCTCCACGATCGGCTCCTCCGGATAAGAGACTGGAACAATCGCCAAGGCATCCTGATTGGAAGCGTCGCCGTCGGCAGCAGCAGCTGATCCAGGCACTAGACACGACCGCATTCTCAATCCACTCTAAAGAGCCAAGAAAAAAAAAAGAAATCCTTGCCTGGATCTTCCTCTCGCTGCAATGCAGCTGCGCAATCGCCATCATCAGGCCGATGCAAGAAGGAATCCAAGATCCTCGTGACCACCGCGTACTCGTCCTCGTCCTCGTCGTCGCCCAGCCCTAATTCTGGACTATCGTCGTCCATTTCCATCCAAGAACCCTAAAATATTTCTCTTGGGGGGCACTTTTTTTATCGCCGTGCCGGGGCAAATGCAGCGACGCGCCATGGCGAGAGCGGCGCGGCGGCATTGTCACAGAGGTACAAGATCGCCTCGCCAGTGCTAGGGTTTTGATTCCGCAACGCAGGCGTCGCGAGATCTATGGAATGGTAGCCGATTGATGTGTAAGATCCATCATGTCCTGGCAAAAGGAAGTGGCCAACATCAAGCTCCAGATGAAGCTGTCCAAGCGGCGATGGCTGGCCTGGACGCTGGGATTGCTCCTCCTGGTCAGCCTCTCCACGCTGGGCGGCATCATCGCGTACCACTACACGCCCACTCACATCACGCCCTGTGAAGTCTTGGGGACTGATTTGTGTAGAATTGCGCTGCTCGCTCCGCCGGCTCCTCCTCCGCCCAGGCCCTGGTTGAACAAGAGCGACACCGAGATTGCGGAGTTTGCTCTTGCGGTGGATCTCAAGCACCAGAGCTTTCGAGCGCAGTCGGGTCCCTCCAAGGTGGCCTTCTTGTTCTTGACGGCTGGCGCCTTGCCTTTCGAGCTCCTCTGGGAGCGCTTTTTCAAAGTAAGTTTCCTGTTCCTTCTTTTTTTCTTGTGCCTTTCACTTTTTATTTTCGTTCCTTTGCGGGGATCGTCTTTTCTCGTTTTTGTTTGCTTGTTTCTCGCTAGTGTGCTTGCATGGATTCTTGTAGGCAGGGTCTCTAACTTCTTCCGCGCAGTTATAGAATAAGTGTTGACTCCAAAAACAAAACTTTTTTCTGCCAGGGAAACGAAGGCTTGTATTCCATCTACGTGCATGCCTCGGACACGGCCATCAACAAGAAGGTTGTGTGGAAGACCGATTTGTTTCGCTCACGAATGATCCGCTCCCAAAAGGTATGGGTTTTACGTCTCCGTTGCCTCGGAATCACAAGCATTTTCCTTCGTTCTGTTTTTTACATTCTCGTGTGCCTGGCGACAGGTGCAATGGGGCAACATCAACATGATCGATGCGGAGAGGCGACTCCTCACTCACGCCGTTCTCGATCAGAACAATGCCTACTTCGTTCTTCTTTCCGACACGTAAGTCTCTCCGCCACAAGTTCCTTGTGTTGATCGAGTCAATTGTCAGGTGTGTACCGCTCCATAGCTTCCGCTACACGTACAATCATTTATTGAACTTCAGTGGTAGCTTTGTCGACTGGTAAAAAAGCTTCTCCTTTCCTCTTTGTTTCTGGAGAATATTTAATGGTGGCCGTGACTGGCACAGCTTCGACGACCCTGGCCCCCATGGGAGGGGAAGATACATGGGCTACATGTCCCCACAAGTAGAGCAATGGGAATGGAGAAAAGGTGCACAGGTTTGTGCTGCTCAAATGCTTCAATTATCTTACAATGCAGTTTAACGACAGAATAAACGTCTCTCAGTGGTTTGCAGTACAGCGGCATCATGCTCTTATGGTCATCGCTGATCACGTGTATTATCGAAAGTTTAAACTGTTCTGCAAGGTAAAGGAGCGTCGCATTTGCTACTCTTCGATGCCCATGCTCACTTGATCCTTTTCTTCCTCGTCTTGTTTTGCAGCCGGGTGACAACAACCGGAACTGCTACCCGGACGAGCATTACTTGCAAACATTCCTCTTCGTAAGCGAACATCCATTTGCTGCTCCAGTTCTCTCACACGATCATCCATTTCCAGATTATGGATTCGGCAGGGATAGCAAACTGGACAGTCACTCACGTCGACTGGTCCGAAGGCAAATGGCACCCGAAATCATATACTAAAGCAGACGTAACTGCGGAGAAACTGCGGCAGCTCCAGGTACTCCTCCCTTGCTGCTTCGGTCTCCTGTTTTCTCTCCTCGCAACAGTTGCAAAAGCTCATTCGTTCGTGTCACTGATCTTACCTGTGCCTGTGCGTGCTTCCATCCAGATGATTGACGAATATGTGCACAAGACAAGTACTGCAAAGGTATGATTGAATCGATTCGCAATCTCTAAAAGCTGTGCGCGCCTAACTCGGATCCTCTTTTCCTTTTCTTCTTTTTTTTTATCTCTTACAGGCTGTGGTAACGAGAACTCCGTGTATATGGAATGGCGAGCGGCGGCCGTGTTTTTTATTCGCGCGAAAGTTCCTTCCAGAGACGGCCCAAGCTTTGCTCAAGATCTTGCCCAACTCGACGTGGGAAAAATCGCCACCATTATTGTAGAGTGTTGTCAAAAGAATCGCAATGAGAAATACCAAAGAAACGAATAGAATGGAAAGAAAATATAATTTAAACAAAAAAACCAGAGGAGGAATGGCCACGTGTCATGACACGTAGGCATGCCACATGGGCATATGCGGCGACATGAAGCGTGCAGCTTCATGTCGCCGCATCTCAATTAATAAAAAAGAAATGTTTTTTCTCCCCCTTCGTCTATCATCAGGGTTGTGTTTTTCTTTCCATCTCTCTCTCTCTCTCTCTCTCTCTCTCTCTCTCTCCATCTCTCGCAGCTGATTTGCCACCGCCGCTCGCTCGCCCGCTCGCTCGATCGCGCGCATTTCTCCCTACTCTTTCTCGCCGCGATTTTGATGGTCTGACTGGGTGTGAGGAACGAGAGGGCGTCGCCATGAGCTGCAATGGGTGCCGGGTTCTGCGCAAGGGCTGCAGCGATGGCTGCGTTCTCCGGCAGTGCCTGCGATGGATCGAGAGCCCCGATGCGCAGGGCCACGCCACGGTCTTCGTCGCCAAATTCTTCGGCCGCGCGGGGATGATGGCGCTGATAAGCTCCGTCCCGGAGAATCAAAGACCCGGTAAAGTAAATATACTTGATGGAGAGCCTCATGGTTTTTTGGGAGTTCTCTTTAGAGATTATTCTGTGCGAATTCTTTTGCCAGGATGATCGGTTGTTCTTGTGAGTGCATGCATGGAAGAGTTATTCCTTCCTGGCTCAAGATGTTGCGTGCTCTTAGTATAGCTTGCAAGTTTCCTCTTGGAACCTTTGGTTTATGGTGTTTAAAATTGATCTCCATGCAGCATTGTTCCAGTCTCTCCTCTACGAGGCATGCGGCCGGACCATAAATCCCGTGTTTGGAGCTGTGGGGCTGCTGTGCTCGGGCAGCTGGAAGCACTGCCAGGACGCGGTGGAGACGGTGCTCAAAGGGGGCTTGCTTTGCTCCCCGGCTTCCACTGGCACCGGAAGGCCCTCCAGCGCCTTCGGCACCGGAAGGCCCTCCATCGGCTTCGTCACCCCCTCCCAGTCCCAGCAAGCTTTCGCGTCCGGAAGGCTTCCCAAAGTTCGTCTCGGGAGAGGCTACTTCAGCACTGTCACCGCCGCTGCGGCTGGAGCCTTCTCCATCTACAGTTGCACCAAGAACACCAACAATGACAACTCCGCCACCAATGCGCAAGGGTTCTCGCTCGACGGCTCCAAGTTCGCGGGAGTGAAGCGGGCGCTGGATCGCGACAGCAGCGAGAGCAGCAGCTTTGCGAGCCTCCAGCGGAGGCATCGCTCGGCCGCGACAACCTTAAAGGTGGAGCTCCAAGAACAGGAGGAACCGGACGAGCACTTTTACGAGGACGAGGATCGGGGCGTGGAGCGCCGAGGATCGGGAGGTGGCGTTGTCCACGATCGTCGTCCCCACGCGATGGCGTGTGGCTCTGGTCGTCGCGACCACCACGCGGAGGAAAACGACGGCGGAGCTGCCGCGGCAGTGGTGGTGGAGGAAGGGTGGCGGCCAGGCGGCGACGAAGTTGGGCTGGACCTCACCTTGGGCTCGTCCTCATCCAAGATGAGCTCCAAGAGCAGCCATCGTCACCTTGTCGCGAGCTCGAGTGTCGCCGCGAAGCGGACAAGCCCCGCGAGTCCTTGTCACAGCTCCGAGGCAGATTCCGACACTACAGATTTGTCCATTTCGATGCAGTCCCAATCCAACACAGTGGCAGCAAGAGCGTTGCCACCACCACCACCACCACCACTGCCATCACGGCCAACAACACCACCATCACCACCACCGAGAACAGCTCAAGAAGTTTTGAGCCCCACGGCAGCCAAGGGTGATCTGCTGCTCATGGATCTTCTTCACTGAGCTCCACAGGTGCGTGATTCTCTCGTCTGATTCTTTCAAATCTGACAGAAGCGTATATCAGGTGGGACGCACACAAGTCTTGTCAAAAGATCTCCATGCCCGGCCAGTGCGTCTCATCGTAGAAGTTCTTACTAAAGTATAGCGAGTCTGATTTAAGATGCGAGAGAAGGTTTATGACAAGCAAAAATTTTGTAGCTTGTGTTCTTCCAAGTTTCTTATTATTAATCTCTTTTTTTGTTCTTTACTTCCACTCTTTACTTCCACCACTGGGAATCAGTGGTGGTTCCAGGGTCGGCCTTTGATTGACTGATTGATTTTTTTTTCTCTGGGTGGTGGTCCCTCACATATATGCGCTCGGGGGCCTTTGTAAAGCCTTGGGTCACGAGGAATAATTCAATCCGCCAGGATTCCAGCAATGATCCGCGACCAAATTGCGAGACTAGTGGGGGCCTGTATCGCAAAACTGGAGCTCGATTTCTCGGTTTAAGGCAAATAGACTTAGATAAAACAGGGGAGAGATTTTCAATGTAGCAACCCAACGTCCCTCCAATGCAAAGTCGCAGTGGAGGGATAGCGAGGGCTGCAAGGAAAATTTTGCTTCCAGGGAACGGGCCTTCCGGAAATGAGGGTATTACCAGAGGCCAGCAAAATAAAGAAGCCAAACACTCGACAAACCAATCCAATCCAAGTGAATTTGCGACTGAAGAGCGCGTGAATCCACACGGGGAGTGATCCGCGCGGATGGATCTGCGACCAGCAGCGCCTGATTCTAAGCGCACTGAGTTTGATCGCGTGCCACAGAGAAATCACAGGCGATATCGGATGAGCGCTATGAAGAACCCTAGCGGCCGCTAGGGCTTGGGGGAGAGCTATATATTGGAATGGACGGAGCAGATCGTCTGGGATAATTGACGGTGGTGATCTTCGTTTCATATGGATGAGGGGGATTAGGGTTTATACCAGGGAAGAGGGGAAATGGCTGCTGCCTTGGTGAGCCAGGCTGCTGCTGGATTGGCGTCGCGATCGTCCTCATCGTCGTCACTGGGGGGAATAGGAGGATCATCCAATCTTCTGGCGTGTTCTTCGTCGCGGCAGCACTTCCAATTTCCAGTAAGTGCGTGGACGAGCGCTGGTAATGTGGTGAGAGTATCGAGTAGGTTGCGCGGCGTCATTAGGTGCCAATGCCGCGCTGTGGATGACAATTCCGAGGACAATGCGGAAATATCGGGCACCGATGAGAGAGTGTTGAGAATCAAGAGTGTTTCCTCGAGGAAGCTGGAGGAGTACATTGCATCGTCGTCGGGATCGTCGTCTTCGTCGTCTTCCCCCGAGGATAAGGAATGGAAGTCGTGGCAGGAGCATTTTCCAAAGGTGGAGGAGGAGGACAATCTCATCTCGGCTTTAAAAGTTTGTCACTCTTTTTCTTGGATTTTCGTTTGGTGTTACTTATCGTTTGTGGCTTGCGCAGTTCCAGCTAGAGGAAGCTGTGAAGCTGGAAAATTTTCAAGAGGCAGCGAAGCTAAAGAGAGCTATCGAAGCAGCCAAAGCAAACGACGTGATATCGGAAGTTAACAAAGAGCTTCAGGTCGTTTTTTCTTCCCATTTTCCTCCGATATACATGCATGAACGATTTTTATTTTATTTTTTATTTTTGTCTCTAGAGAGCTTTGCAAGAGGAACGATACAAAGACGCTGCACGCTTGAGAGATGAAGCTGGTGCTGGCCTGGTATGTCTGTGCTTCGTACCGCCGTTGTCATACATTTCACTGCCTTGCAGGTAGGATGGTGGGCAGGCATCTCCAAAGATGGAAGTGATCCTTTTGGGAGAATTATCAGGGTGAGAGCCGCTCATGGCAGGCTTATAGCACAGAACTACACTGCCAGGTTTTCTCGGATTTAAGATGGAACAATGCGAATCCTTATGTTTTGCAGGCAGTTAGCTACCTTTGCTCAAAAGAATGGTGCCGAAGGTGATGCGTTATTCGAAGTTTTTGTTAAGAAGGAAGATAATGGATTCAACAAGCAGGTGGGCCTTTTTAAGGAAGAACTTAAGAATAACTTTCCCCTGTGCACAGGTTGTTTACTTGCAACACCCAGCAGAAGCAGAAGCAGCAGACCTGGATAAACTTGTCGATATTGACATTGACGAAATAGTTCAGCAGGCGGAAAACGAAAGCACGGAAGAAAAGAACAGAACAAAGAGCGCAGGAAAGACAGAAAAACAGGAAAACGAGAAAGCAGATGACGACTCCGATGAAGCACACGTACAAGCTAGCGGTATAGTCGACTTCTTAAAGGATAGAATCCCCGACCTCAACATGAAAGTTATAAAGGTGATCGCTCCAGAAGGCTCAGAGCCAGACATCCCAAAGATTATCGAGGAGATAATCGAGAGGGAGCAGAAAGAGCACCGGGATAAAAGTGATGCCTCTGCCATTGGTGGGATAGTCGTTCAAGAATCGTCCGATACCGAGGGAAAGGCAGGTGACGACCAGGTCCCGGACGATAAGGCTGTTACCATCAGAGTAGTTATAGGTGGAGCTTCTCCTGGAGAAGGCGGAGATGGTTCTACCGGTCCTGCAGTGAGGGTGCCCGCTACCATCAAGCAAGAGTCAATAGACAGTTTTGTGCTTCACATTGATTCTATTCCGGACGATATTCACCAGGACGATTCCAAGGCTTGGAAGGTTGCGAGGATTGCCACTAAGGCGTCAGCAGATCAGATGCCCGATGACGTGGCTCAAAAGTTGTGGAATGTGGAAAAGGTGCCAGTGCAGGTGATTTCTAGACTTTCTGTTTGTTTCTGCAAACTGTTGATACTGTAGTTACAGGTTTCTAAAGAGCTAAAAGAGGTTATCAAGCTCGCTGTGAATCAGGCGCAAAAAATGCAGAGCTTGCCAAAGACCACTGTCTTTCATCGCATCGACGTGACTGAATCCTCTGATCCGTTCACGGGTAGGACGCTGGTATTTAGTACCTCGTATATTGATTTCTCCAGTTTGATGTAGGTCTCTATGTTGGGGCTTTCGGCGCAAACACTCCGGAGATCCTTCAACTTAAGCGGAAATACGGCCACTGGGACACGAAGAGATCAGTCCCGGATGACAAGCTCAAGTTTTACGAGTATGTGGAGGCTATTAAGCTGACAGGCGATTTAAACGTTCCCGCGGGGCAGGTATGAAGCTTCCAAGAGTATGTCGGTTGTTTGCTGATTCTTAGAAATTTCTGGCAGGTAAGCTTTCGAGCACGTATTGCCAAAGAAAACAGGATGTCACCACTGGGCATCTATCCAGAGGAGTTAGGAGTGGTATGTTGTTTTCTCATTGGCTTCGCATTTTAAGCGAATTTTTTTGGTGTGTTTTTGCAGATTGCCCGATACAGAGGCCAAGGTCAACTGGCAGATCCTGGCTTTAAACACCCCAAGTGGACTGACGGAGAGCTTGTTTTACTCGATGGAAGGGTAAGTTAAAGCTACTGGCTTTTCTCGTTCTTTTCTAATTTGAGCAATATCTTTCCAGACAACTGGCCCGACGAATGGTGCAAGGCTCGGATTCGTTTTCTACTTGCCTGATCACCACTTCCTCATCTTGTTTGACCGGCTAAACCTTGAGAAGTTATCATAAGGTGCTGACAAAAGTTATAGATTTTGAGGAGCTCCTTTCGAACACGAGAGCTTTCTAGCTCTGGAAGGAGATTTTGCCAGCAAAATACAATTGCAGCGGGTAGTTGCAATTGTTTGTTTCCCTTTTGTAAAGTTCTGTACAATGCCAAGACTGTTTTGCAGTAACCTGGATTGTGATCGTTACTATAGTACACTCAGCCGAAAGAGAAATGAGAACTGTCCGCGATCCTCACCAGGTTTGTCACGTTCCTTCATCTCCTATTTTAATTCTGTTCGGCAAATGTAACACTGCGTCTGCAGGATCAGATCTGTCCGCCAGCAGCTTGATGATATGTTGCTCGGGCAGCTTGTGCTTCTCCAGCAAACTCAAAACGCTCTTTTCGAGGACCTGAGTTACCCACCTCTGAAACTCGTCGTTTCTCCCTTGGCCTTCCCAGACTACCGCAACCAGATGCTTGAATAAGGTGGACTCTACTTCTATGGTAACTTCCGGCCCAGAGGCAGCAGTGCTAATCTCCTTGACGACAAGCTCGGCCAACTTCGTGAAGTTGAAAGGCCTGAACACAATGGTGCCGCTCATTCTGTCCCAGAAGTTCTTGGAAAGCTGGTCGCAGGCCCTCTCGAGTAGCAGCTTCACTTGGCTATCCTTGACGTCGATCTTCTCGACCACATTATCGCCAGCTTTTGGAGCTGCCTCGTCTTCTTCCAGGGGCAGGTTCAAGTCGAGCTCCACACCTCGGGACTCAACCTTGTTGCGCTTCTCCACCACAGCCGCCGGAGCTTCCATCAGGTCGCTGGCTCCTGCCTTACGCTTACTATGCGACGTACTATCACTGGGAACCGAGCTTCTAATGACGGACACCCGTTCGCCTTTGTGGAGCACGGCTTCCGGATCTGCTGCCTCGGCCGCGACCAGCTTCATCCCGACTATCTCAGTACCGGCAATGATCTTCTCGTTCAACTCCAGCGACGTGAATTGGTTTTCCTGCGGCAGCAGCTCCTCTCCGATACTGGAGGTCATTATGACGATCAAGTTGGCCACACTGACTTCTCGTCCGCTCGAGTCGGCCAGCCGACCTCTCTCCATGGCCTTCACCAGGGAACTTTTCAGCCTCGGGTCAGCTTGCTCTATATCTTCCAAAAGTACCACCGAGAACGGTTTGCTCCTCACCGAATCAGCAAGTCTATCCAGTGGAGTTCGTCCTCTGCCAGTCACAGCTTCAACGTCCCGCTCCTGACGCCTACCGGACCTCAAACTCAATCGGAGGAGCATTTTGTCGGAACCGTAGACTTGCTCCGCCAGAATTCTCGCGACTTTCCTCTTTGCCATTGCATCCGGCCCCAGGAACAGCAGCCAGGTGTTGCCTCTTCCAGCACGGTTCAAAATTGTGGAAGACACAGCGTCGACGGCATCCCGTTGCCACGGTACGTTTTCTGCCAGAGCTTTGCAGAGACCTTTATAGTCGAGTTCCTTCACCGGTGGAGCCTTGAAGACGTTCGGTTTGATAACAGCAGGTACCTGTGGCTTGTCAATCCCGTTCTGGTAACTCCTCTTCTCGGGTGATATAGGCAAGACCGGAAAACCGAAGGAACCCGAAGTTGTGCAACCAGCTGCTAGGCTTTCCAAGGCCTCGCGACGTTGGTGCTGTTGTTGTTGAGGCTTTGCATCAACAGTGAAGCCCTTCGACTGTGCGGTGACGCTGCTGTCATTGCACTTGAGTGACTCGGACCGTCCAAGAACCAAGTCGGTTTGCACCGTCACGTCGGAATCCGGTTGCTTTCCTTGCGGACTAGAACTATGTGGAGTGGATGGCTTGAGACTCAGCCCGATATCCGTGGACAAGCCATCTTCCGCCAAGCTGGTGCATACGGGCCCGACCTCTTCGCCGTGACTACGAGCCGCCAGTCCATTCTTCTCGGGCACTGGTTGCGTGCCATTGGAGATTTGAGGTTGGAGAGAGAGCCACGGGATCGACATGGGCAAGCTACCACCAACAGTAGTACTGCAAGCAACTTTGCCATTGGCACCGGTCTCGGAGGAGAAGCCTTTGGTCGAGCTCGAGTTTCGCCGCATCCCATGCAGGCTCCGGCACGTTTGCGACCATTTCTTCTGGAGCTCCTTCAACTTTTGGCTACGTCCATTTGCCTGGCAAATATCATCGTCAGTAAACACGACAAGCGAGAGCAGCAGTAGTGGAAAGAAAGTGCCAACCTGGTCGGCATCCTTGTTTGGCTTGAGCCAGAATGGCAGGCCACTGGGGGTGTGCTCCTCGCTGCTCGAGATATTCTCCTGCACCTCCTGCTCGTACTTGGCAACGCACTCGGCACAGCAGTTCTCCAAGCTTCCATTTTCAGGCTGCAGCTTAAATGGCAACGATGGCCACAGGCCAGGAACAGCAGTACGCACAGGTGACGGAGACTCTACGCAGTTTGAGCTTCCAAACCTGCGAGGACACGAATGGAGTCAAGGGAGGAGGAAGCGGCGTCGAGAAAAAGTTCCTATCACGTACCTGGCGCTGCCGTTGCTGCCGCTGTTCCGCAGAGTCATGCTGAATCCACTGGAGATTGGCAGAGGTTGGAGCCCCCACAAGGAATCGAGAGAAGGATGGCGAGCTTGGCACCTCATATAAGTTTGCGACGACGCGATCCCCATCAACCAGACTTGACTGCTATGTCCAGCCAGCAGCTTTCCAATCTCCGACACGGTATGTTGGACGGGGCAGTAGAGAGGCGACGAGGGAGCCGCTGCTCCAGATGATGGAGGAGGAGGAGGAGAAGGCCTCTCGACGAGCCACTGCAAATCTCCCAGATAAACCACCACGCCGGCGGAGCGCAGCAGGCTCTCCTCCACGGAGCGGACGAGCTCGGCGAGCTTGCGCTCGACTTCGTCCTTGGCATGCAGTCCCAGAGCTATGGAGGCGAATTGCGGCGAGAGTATCCGGAGGTTGGACAGGCTTGGCTCGCAGTCACCTTTGTCGAGCCGATGCATCACCTCCTGCGCGACACCGTGTGGCGGCTGCTCGCCAAACAACAGCGGATTCCTCTTCTTGGACTTGAGAAGGATCTCCAGCACCCGGCTCACGTCCACGGAGCTCTTGTTGCTGCTACCGCTCGAAGGGATGGTCATCCCCATGAGAACGCTGTTGAGCTGCTGGTGGTGTTGGTGGTGATCGGGAGCAATGCTTCTGCTCGACTGCTGGACGAGCAAGCCTGGAATGAGAAGATTTGGAGCGGTGGTGGTGGTGGTGGTGGAACCGGGACCGAAAACTCCAGCTCGGAAAGGAGAAGCTCCTGCTGTTGCTGCTGCTGCCGCTGCCGCCGCGGTGTACTGCTCCAAGGATCCCAATTTCAGCCTCAACCGGTCGACGCTGGTGGTAGAGTTCGGACTGCCAACCATGGATGCTGCCGCCGCAGCCGCAGCCGCCGCTCCTGCCGAAGATGGTAGAATTCTCCTGGCCTGAGCAGCGCAGGTGGACGATCCACCCGACGCCGACGATGCGGCGGCGGCGGCTGCGGCAGCCAGCGCCTCCTCGAGGCTGTTCTTCACCTGGGTGCTGGAGAAGCTGGCCTCCCTCATCACCCGGCTGACGCTGGGATCGTCCAGGATGGAGATTATGAGCTGCTCCATCTCCACCTTGACGGCCAGGAGAGGGACCTGCTGCTGCTCCGGGTAGCCCCTTCGCTGGTGAGCCTGTGCCCGCTTGAGAGCCGCGACGAGCGCGTTGGAGAGCGCCGGTTGCTGGTGGTGCTGGTGCTGGTGGTGGAGCTGCTGCTGCTGCTGGATTTGGTGGTGGTGGTGATGGTGGTGGTGGTGGTGGAGCAAAGACGATGGAGAAGAAGAAGATGGCGGAGGAGCTGCTGGGGTCACCGGGGTGGCGGTGGAGGAGGGAGTGGAGTTACCGGTGGTGGTGCTGGTTTGCAATCGATCCAGCGCCACCTTGAAGCAAAGCTCGAGGCTGCGGCAATGTGGGGGCTGCGGGAGGTGCAAGTGGGATTGGATACAGGCCTGGCGGAGGACGCTGGTGGTGCCCGACAGTAGCGTGGTGGCGACATGCAAGGGAGTGACTTGGGCGTGGCCGCGCCGCTGCGCCTCCGCCACCGCCAGCTTGAGAACATTGGCGGCCTCGGTGGTTAGCGTCTGCTGCACGGTGGACACCCCCGCCCGCATCTTTTCCTCCTCCTGGAAGAAATTCACGCGCGTGAGCTGGGTGGTCGTCTCGAAACCCCGCGGAGGATCGAAGCTCGATCGGAATTTGGAAGATCGAGAGAATTGCCAGCCGCGCGAGCCTGGGAGCGGAGAAAGGAAGCTCGCGCTTCTCCAAAGCTCGCCGAAGGAGACCAACTTGCCTGGATTTGCGCGCGGTGATCCTTGTCTTTAGAGGAACTAAATGCATCAATCTATCTCCTCCTCTTCCTCCTCCTCAGTGGCGGCAGAGAAACGAGTGGAGAGAGAAAAAGTATACGCGCGCGATCAGATCCTCTCCCCCTTTTCCCTCTCGGATCAAATCAATCTCACATCCACCTCCATAACTCTCAACTGGTGTTCCCCATACACACCACCATAGCATCCCTTTGAAAAAAAACTCTCACAATTGCGACCCCTTACCTATCCTCACCCCCAAAATTCAACGCTGTCTTTCACCATTTAACCAAACAAAAAATGACACTAACCACAAAAAAAAAAACGAGAAAATTTTCCAGAGACCAAAAATCCGGAAGAATCGAACTGATTTCAAGAGACCCTCTGCAGTGCTGCTGCTGCTGCTGCTGCTACTGCCTTTCCAATTCTTTCTCTTTTTTCATCTCTCACTCTTTTCTCCCCCCTATTTTTCGCAATGAGACTCTCTTCACGAATCGAGAAAAGAGGGACACCCGATTCCAATGAAATCGAAATGAATGTCCCTCAAAAGCAGGCTGGGCCCCGTCGCCGCCATAGCCTCGCCCCCAAAAAACTTTGCCCTGCATTTTTATGCCCCACTGCCGCCAGCGCGGCATGAGGTCCAGCTGTCCGGCCAGGATCCCGACACGTCACCACGACTGCGCCACGTCCGCATGGGCATTCATCCTATGCTTTATGGGTCCATGATGCGCATCAATGATCATGCATGGATGGAATCATAATGCCCTAAAAAGGACACAAGATCATTTCTTTTGCCTCTCAAATAGCAAAGTAATAAAGGTAAGTGAAAAGCACAGGGGGAAGAACTATAGCGTCCGTGTGTGTGTGGATTGGGTTAAAACTTTTCACTTTTACCGCTCCCAAGGTGGCGGCCCCCACCAGTAGCAGCGCTGCTTTTTGTTTTTATTGCGTAAAAGCGGCGGGCCATTGGAAAAAGGCTTCATTTGTTAAAACTCGCCAAAGGGCCCAGGGGTACGTACACGCATAAAAGATCCTCCCCTCTGGCGCACTTGATGCCGGTTCGATTCCCTTCCAACCGAAATCCCCTGTTTATGTCCAAAAGTTGTAAGCCGTGCCGTAATCTAGCCGGATCAGTCCATGACAAACAAGAGCCAACTTTTCTGGTGACAAAAGAAAATGCCATTAAGTTGATGGGGACATTCTCTCTTTTGCTTATATTCAACTTCACCCAAGTTAAAGGTCTTGGTAGATCATGGATCTCAAGATATTTTGTCCGGATTTTGAGTTTGAATGCATCAAACAAATCAGGTCACCCAAGTTCAATGCTGTTTAGATGCTGATAAAGACTTGATTTTTGCGTCTCATGTCCAAATTGAGCACCACAAGACTATCAATCAAACAGTGTCTAGATAGATAGACTTGACCATCAAGCTACTGCTCCTCCTGTTGCCCAAAAAGCTGGCTGTGCTGGACATAGAATAGAATACTAAAGTTCTAACCTGCCTAAAGCTGCTTAGATAGAAGCGTTTGCTCCCAAAAAAAGCAGCCCTCTCTCACCAAAACCCATAACATTTTTCGAGTGCGTGCAAAGCAATGACAATGACCTGAAGCTTGGGAGATCTTTGCGTCATTGTTTAGTGTTCCTGGCTTTAGTTTGATCTCAATGGTGTGACTTTTGCGAGCTTTCTTATTAGCGAAAGAAACATCTCAGCAGAACAAACAGTGGCATTGTCTTTGCTTTTGGGTTCTCATTTTCCTGAGATCTCATATATATATCTTTGACAAGATTGTTATGCATACAAGAACACAATGATGGGAATCTTTTGTGAATGATTCGGGGTCTCGTGGTCCATTCTTTCCACCTTTGCTTTGCTTCCTTGCTAATGGAACAAGAAAGCAAGTGCTTGGAATTTGGTGATGGCAACATCAGGAAAAGTATCTTTAACCTTATGGTTTTGTTGTAGAATAAGTCAAGAGAAAGATAACTTAGAAATTCTTCCATGGAATTCCATCTATAATGGCTGGCTATGGCGACTGAGATACTTGGAGTATAGAAATCGCTCCAGGCCACACAAGGAGGAAAACCATAACCCCACCAACAAACAACATGAGGCCAGCCAAACGCTAACCTCCCTGACACCACCTTTAAGGGAATCTCTCCTTTCATAAAGCTTTGGGGGACCCTCGCCTCGCCTTCCCTCTCCTCTTTTGGCCCTCTCCAACAAACAATGCCAAAACAAAATAGAGAAAGAAAGGCTCTCTCCAAAAAATCAAACCTCCAGAAGCCATCTTTTCGCCTTGAATGCAGCGCTGCGTTGCACCTTTACGGCTTTTTAGCTACAAGAAAAATGCCCCAACGCGGCATTTGCAAGCTTTCCTTTCTTAACCCCTCGGCTCACTGGTTAAGAGTAGAGACTCTTGGAAGAATCTATCACTCAGAAAAGGGAAAGAAAGGGTGGCTTTGTCCGCTCGATCAGATTTGATCCATGCTCTCGCCTTTATCTCCTTTGTTTTGCTTCCTTGCGAAGAATGGGGACAGTGATATGCGGTCGTGCAGCGAAGATGTGTCCCCCTCCACATGGAGGTTGCAGCAACCAGCCAGGCTGCCACCTTTTTTGCTATACGTCCAAACAAACGCGCCTTTAGGCATTGAACATATACAAGGAAGAAGAAACGCCTTCCTTGGAGTGAAAGAGTAAAGGATACTTGACATTTTGACGTACCACGTGGTTCGCCCGCGGCCGTTGATTGAACAGAACTTGCAGCCATCATGTTGTTCGTAGTATCATGGCTACCAAAAGCATCCCTTTGTCTCGCAAGGCGTTTCTTTTTCAAACCCAAATTATACAAATAATAATACTGAAAACAAGAGAGAACAAAATTTGAAAAACTAAAAGGAAAAAGAAAATAAAAAGTCGAGGCATGGCCCCATCCAGCAGCAGCTTTATGAATTTGCGTAAGTGCGACAGCCAGGACGAGTTCTGGCCTTTACAGTTTTTTAAGAGCATGTTATATTTTTCTTCAGGTGGGTCCAACTAGAAAAGGGGTACGGAAAGCCACTTTGAGGTTTCAATGAGTGTCCCGTACACACAAGATTCCCTTCCACACTGTACATGAATGTTATTGCAGGGCGTCGTCCATCCAGGCCGTCCAGGTCCGGTGCCTGACCGAATCCAGGCCGTCCGCTTGGCAAAATCTAGGACCGAAGAGCAGTGCGCATGCATTGCCTACAGAGGCCTTCTTCTCTTCTATCCCTTCCCTCGATTCGTTCGCGGCCGAAACTTTTGCTTTTTAAATAACCCTTCCGTCCAGGGTGACAAATTCCAGAATAATTCTATGCTTTTGCGCGCTCGATTTCATGTAGTCCCCAAAGCGAATGATTGCACGCATCATTCCGGGAGGAAGCACTAGTCTAGATTTAAGTGTGTAATGGAATGGAACATTGGAATCGATCCTCCTCTTCGTCTCCCCCCTTTTGGATCGATCCATCATCCATCATCCATGGATCGTCCATGGTGGAGGAGCACCAAATGTTATCTTTTTGGAGCTTCATCATGCAATACCTGGCAGCCTTGAAATGATATGTATTATATACGTGGGGGATATTATAGCAATGCTTTGTGTTTTGTCTTGTAGATTTTTTTGGCTTCTACGTGGAAGTTGTGGGATGGAAATTGTCCCCCTGATGAGCAGCAGTGTAACATCTACTGGTCTGGTTAAACAGGTCCTTTCACAAGTATCAAGTTATTACTCATATAATATCAGCTTGATCATGATAATACTATTCTAACCAAAATGGAACAGTATTATTGCTCCCGGAATGATGGAGTGGCCAAATGGGAGGAAGATTGTGATTCATGAGGTGACTTTCTTCGGCTGCATGATGGAACATATCAAGCACCTCTTTTTGTTTGAGGAAAGCTGGAATCCCGTCATGATAGTTGAGAGATTCCAGCGCAAGTAAAATGGAGAGAGACTGATCCGCTCGGGTTCGATTCTACAGCTTTGCGGAGTGGGCTCGGCATATACTTTGAGTATGAGGCCAACAGATGCCCCGCAATCACGACCAAGAATAAAGCTCCCGTGACCAAAATCATAAAGTTTCTTTTAGCTTGGCCTTCTCCATCGCCATGCCCAGCTCTAAGCTTCTTAGATCGCCATGCCCAACTTTAGACCGTGTCAAGTGGTTCTTGCTACATAACATGGCCTTTCTCATCCCCCAAAACGCACACTCACATACAAACCCCGAAAGTTGAGAGACATACTTCCGAGAGCTCGCTTTAACAACACCAAAAGTCATTCTTTGTTTCTCTTGTGTGTTGCGTGCCATGTGTGAGAGATTCGGAGGGATCTTGACAAAGGGGCCACCATTCTCTGATCTCTCTCTCTCTCTCTCTCTCTCTCTCTCTCTCTCTCTCTCACCTTTTTTTTTCTTGACTTTTGGAGGTCCCCTCCTTTAACAGATGGGACACACATGATGTGTGTGTGTGTGTGTGTGTGTGTTTTGGAGAGGAAGTTCTCTTTGTATTGGGTTTGGTTGGTGGCGAATGGCAGTGGAAAAAGGCAGAGGGAGGCTTTCTTTGTATGCATCCTTGTGTTTGGTAGCGAGATCTATCCTCCCAAAAAGCAAAATCCAAGTCACTTGGTGGCATTTGTATTTGGGCATCGCTTTTCAAAGACAAGAACCCGGACTCGGGCATTTTGCATGGCCTTTACTAAAGAGGAGAAAACAGCAGTCACACAGATAGTTGAATATGGAGAAAAATATTAAGATTCTTATTCTTAATTTCATTTATTTGTTTGTTTGTTTATCTGGCTTTCGAGTCGGTGGAAAGCATTGAACAAGGCTCTTTGTCCACGTAATAAAGAGACGATATACATGGCAAGGTTCAACGTCTGTGTGTACTTTGTATACTTGTCGAGCAAGAGCAGCCCATATAGGGCATGGCTGCAAGAGAGGAGAATTGTGGCCACCTCAAAAGATTTTGCCAATCTTGTCATCTCCCATCTTTAAAGAGGCCTCTCTCTTTCAATCCATTTTGTCAATCGGATTCCTTTCTCCGTTGTCTGCGTGTTTGTCCCTGCGCGTTATGGAGGCTTGTTTTGCGTGTGAGAGTGTATACCGGGCCACCGACGTTTTGCTTTGAAACTGCGGAATTAAAATGGACTGATCTGGATGGACGAAATGGAGGAGCTTTTCCTTCGTCAACCTTGCACTTAGAGATCAATTGAAGTGTACTTTTGTGTCTGGATGTGGAGCGTGGGACGAAGAGAGTTCCTTTGGTTTGGGAGTGAATGAGCGATCTTGTTGTTCAATTTTGGTCGCGATGGCGTTAACATCGGGCATTTAAGGAGCCATATGTTCCACTTGATGGTATTGCCAAATGCTTGGAGCAGAGACACGGCGAGTCAAGAGCATGCTGGATCAAAGAGAGAAAATTAGTGATGCATCGACCCAGTCTCTTAAACTCAAAGCTTTAGAAACCAAAGTATATGCAAGAGAACTCTATTCGGTTATTCACCAAGAAAAAAAACGCAGGCTAAGAGATAATTATTGCAAAGCAAACTGGCGCACAGAGAGAGACAGAGA